GAATAGATGCATCTGTTCATCATTCCAGACTGAAGACGACAGCAGGAAAAACATTTTTCCCTATTATAAAAGGATATAGTATATTGTAACATTAAATAAGAAAGCTACTGGAAGAGGCTTGTCTTTCTATTGTCCTATGTCAACATAGTCATTTTTAGAAATTCCTATCATGTATTCTTTTCCACCAGAGATTGAATGTGTTCAGTAATGATGCTTTCAACCAATAATTTTCAGAATAACATTTCATATCAACTCCTTCCACAGGACATGGAAGTCCTATGAATTAATTGATATTTCTGTATCTATAAGAGGAACGCAGACAGTAGCTTCTAAAGACAATGCAGGTGTAATTTTTTTAAAAAATAATAATAATCAAAAAACATCACAAAGGAACAGGGAACACTGACTATTTGATAAATACAGTTTTTATTTTTAAAAATGTGTTCTAGCCTGTGACCTAGGCCTCGGATTTACCAGCATACTTGAGTTTTCTGTGCAAAGTAGTTCTGAAGGCAATGGGACATCCTGACAGAAGAACAGCATTTCCTGCAGGAAGGTTTATGTCCTATTTGATTGGTGTTTGGAGGAATGGGGGTATCATCCCTACAAGGAAAATCTTAAGTGTTTAGGACTAGTCTAGAAGAGGCAAAGGGAAACATGAGCGATTTATGAGATTACAAAGCATGGGGGAAGCTGGGAGGGTATTTCCCCCCCACTCATTTCATAATAATAGCACTCAGGGTCACCCATTGGTGATTTGTGATTGATTCAGTACAAAAAACCTTAACAGACAACCACTGGAATTTACTACTAAAGCATACGGTAAGGGCTGCTAGCTTAAATGGCTTGGTCTATCAATGGCTATTTGGCAAAAGTCAAATGGCACCTCCATGTTCAGAGGCAGCATGACTCTGATAACCAGATGTTAAAGAGAAACGGGAGATAACCATCATCTTTGTGCCGAGGTTGATTAAAACAGCCAGCGAGATTTAACAGGCTTTCAGTTTAAAAAGTCTGTTTTGAGGCAGTTTGTATAATTTCAAACATTTTGCTCCTCAAATGCATCAATCTTTCATGGTCCTTTGAAGGTACACTGCTCCTTTTCAGCAAAATCAACCTGATCTACATTTGAAAATATTTTATCAAAAAGAATTAAAACGTAATGTGCATACATAATACTGATGGTAAAATCCAGGAAGACAAAATAACACTTTTGCACTTGTTTTCACTTTTTTAAAGATAGGCTGCAGGGGGGTTAAAGTCTACTAGTTCAATATTAACCATTATCACGTGTTGCCTCCTGAAAAACCACAGCAAAACCATAAAACTGTAGCTTGAGATATACTTCCAAAATTAACATTTACTAGGAAAAGATATACAAAACTAATGACCTAGGGAATCTTTGTCCATGCAAACAATAGGTCACCTTCACACCACTGTTGTGAACATTACTAATTTCTCAACCAGGCAAACTGAGGACAAAATAATAGTCTACCAACAACAGATAGGTAGCCGTGTTGGTCTGCCATAGTCAAAACAAACAAACAAAAAAATTCCTTCCAGTAGCACCTTAAAGACCAACTAAGTTAGTACTTGGTATGAGCTTTCGTGTGCATGCACACTTCTTCAGATATCTGGTATCTGAAGAAGTGTGCATGCACACGAAAGCTCATACCAAGAACTAACTTAGTTGGTCTTTAAGGTGCTATTGGAAGGAATTTTTTTTGTTTAGTCTACCAACAGTTTGAGATAGTCAAGGCTCACTTCAAGAGGTTCTGCCTTTGTCCAACCCCCCTTTCCCCCAGAAAATCTGCTCTTTAGTGCTAAATTGAAGCAAACGTTAATCCACAGAAAACCTGACTGATGTTTGGTTCGATTCAGCAGTAAACAGCAGGTTTTCCTGGGGCAATCAGAAGTGTGGATGAGCCTTAAGTGAACAAATACGGGAATATAAATTTACTCTGAGCTAAAGGACCACAGGGATTCAAGTGAATTTCACTCAAATCAGTACTTTCAGATCACAGCTTTTGTATCTTATTTCAAATACCGTATTTTTTGCTCTATAAGACTCACTTTTTCCCTCCTAAAAAGTAAGGGGAAATGTGTGTGCGTCTTATGGAGCGAATAAAGGCTGCACAGCTATCCCAGAAGCCAGAACAGCAAGAGGGATCGCTGCGCAGCGATCCCTCTTGCTGTTCTGGCTTCTGAGATTCAGAATATTTTTTTCTGAGGTTCAGAATATTGTTTTCCTCCTCCAAAAACTAGGTGCGTCTTATGGTCTGGTGCGTCTTATAGAGCAAAAAATACGGTACATTCAATTGGAGGTCCTACTGATTTTAATGCAAACTTCTTCAAAGTACATGGCTTTAGGCCTGGTGTTAGGCCAGCTTAAGTATTTTGTGTAAAATGTGTCACATACTTATTTCCTCTATTCTTCCACACATTTTAGACCTATATGCACAGGCTTGTAAAAAGTTACTGGAAGAGACTTAAAACAGAACTATTAAAAAAAATTAAATTAGTTTCACAGTGCAATGCTAGGCATATCTACTCAGAAGTAAAACCCACGAGTTCAATTAGACTCACTCCTAGGTATGTGTGTGCTGCACTCTTAGTCAGTCTGACTTGAAAGTCAACATCAGTACCAATATTACTTATTTAAAATCCATCTGTTTCATTGGCTTCACTCATCATATGCACTACTTAAGACACAATCAAGCAAAGCCTAAAACACATTAATTGGAATTACAGTTGTACCTCGGCTCCCGAACGCCTTGGGAGTCGAACGTTCCGGCTCCCGAACGATCGAAAACCAGAAGTGAGTGTTCCAGTTTTCGAACGTTCTTTTGGAAGCCGAATGTCCAACAGGGCTTCCACAGCTTCCGATTGGCTGCAGGAGCTTCCTATCAGAAGCCACACTTTGGAAGACAAATGTTTCGGAAGTCAAACTGACTTCCAGAATGGATTATGTTCAAGTTCCGAGATACAACTGTATTTACACCTTTGCCTCCTTCAGCCAAGGAAAAATTGGAAGTGTCTTCCGGAAGCATAGCCCTACTGTACTTGGCTTGTCCAATTAAGGCTTCTGTCAAAATATCACAGGACAATTCTATGTAGTATCTGCACTAGCCTGACCCAGCTAGTTAGTTATGAGCTAGGGTGCAATCCTATGCATTTTTCTGGGAGTAAAGCCCCACTAGACACAGACTTCGTTCTGAGTAGCCATGCACATTATTGTAGTGCAAGCTTTGTTGAAAACAATGGAAGTATTTCATTCTAACTTTTCCCTTTGCTATAAATGGAACTTAAAATTAACATCACCTGGCCAGAACAAATCTGTTTTCATCAACCATTCTGAGCACCTATAACTGGATGAACACAAAAGTTTCAATGTTTCCGAACGGAAATAATGTAGAAGTATAGCAAAATGGCTAAAAAACATATGCAGTGAATGTAAAGAACCCTTCAAAAGGTAAAAGCATAATGTTAAGGTCTAGCACCCCAAACCAACAGCACAGACAGCTGAAAGCACAAACAGCCATGTCAACATCGTAGTGCAACACGTCAGTAGTGCATGTCAGCTGCAATCTCATTCCAATACCAATCAAATATTAGACTCTGGGCGGGATTGATGCCACTGACTCTGTCATGGAATAAGCCTCAACCTGTTTATGTTGGACAACTTTATGCTGTGCTGAAATTGGCATTTATGGCTGATCCCAGCATAATGTAAACCCATAGGAGGCTGCTAGCACTGGCTCCTTGCAACTCCAAGGCTCATGCTACACTCTTGTCTACTGATTCTATCCACATTCCAACCATTTATTTTCCCACTTAACTATGGATGAGTTGGGGGACTTTTATAAATATGCAGGCCTTTAATTATAGGAAAATAAGATTCTTAGTCCTAACAAGTGTACCTACTGGATCTAAAAAAATGACTTTAAAAAGATCCTTGCCTTTTAAAAAAAATGTTCTAACTTAAACTGAAATTAAATTAGCCCAGGGGTAAATGTGGGTGTTCTGCAATCTATTAATGACCTGGTTTCTACTAAAAATAAAAAATGTACATGTAAACCAAACTATTAATTATTCATAATTAAAGAAGACAGAAGCATTGAAGTGATCAAAGTTATGTAGATACTAGGTACAACCCAAATACTGAAGCAGTTTCAAGACCCAACGCCAAGAGCCCATGTACAAAATAGCTTATACTAACCAGTGATACGTTACCCACTTAAAGGCCTCAGCAGCAAGAAGACTGTGGCACTTAACCATGCAATATAATAAGAGTTGGATCACAGTATAGGAGCACTTGCTGTCATATTAATAATGGCAACCACAAATGTATAACTATCAAGTCACCAAATTGTGGTACTGGATATAGATCAAGAACTACCACTATTGGTGAGAAGCACCAATCCCAATTGACAGATTATATAAACATGCTAACCCCTCAGTTCACATCATAAAGCAGGTACATGTTTGAGGTTCATCTTTCTTGGACATGTTTCAAGAGGAGACAATCAGCAGTTAGCGAAATCCAGCACTGCCATATTTAGAAACGAGAAAAGAGGCAGACTTACTTGGAATTTGGCCCCAAAAGTTCCACATTAAGCAAATAAACATGTGGCAATTTGGGAGGGGGCATGAAATATCCCCCCCAATGCACCTTGAGTATATGATTTATCTGTTGTCTTAAAAAACTTTTATTTGTATTGCTTGGAATGTTGGAATTTCAGTAATTTTGAAGAACATGCCATGCATGTAAGCCTCCAAGCAGGCAACAACAGTTTAAAATGTAATTAATGGGCACCAATATATTAAGTACTAAGGAAATGTGGTCTTATTGGTAGCTTTTCACTATCTAAGACAGCTGAAGACTAAACCTCCAAGCTGAAGCCCTTTATCATGACAGCTTCACTTACGCAAACATGGTATGCTTGTTCAGTGATTTGAAATAAACCAACTTTGGGATTCCTATATTGAAGAGGCAACTGTGTAGCTTATCTGCCTTTAGTTAAACAAATACACACATTTTGCATGAACAAAGCTGAGAGACACAAGTAATCTTACCAAATTTGAATGGAAACCAACTTAAACTCTTCAGTAGACTGTATAATCAAAAACTCTGTAACCAAGCTGACATTTTTATTCCATCAGTGATTCTAAAATCTTATATGCAAGCCTAGCTAGCTACAGTAGTGAGTGCATAACCAGTTGTGTCACAGAGAAATTCCTGCATCAGCTGTTCAGATTCTTTCAAGAGCAGTTGGTATCAATAGTTGTCTCTAGTTCTCTTAGACATGAAAAGAACACTCCAAGCCAGTTGGAAAATGACACACATACACGCTTGTAAACTTCTCAAACTAACCACAGCAAACCTGTGCACATCAGCCATAATTAAATTTAGGTCTTTCAAGCTTATAATGGATTCATTTGATTACATACAGCTTATTTAAAAACCTGGAGGCTTGTTCTTGTTCCGTGAGGTAGTAGATATAACCAACCCCACAGAAAATTTACACTTCTCCAAAGTTGGTGTGCCCAGTCTCCTTGGCATGTTCTCTGGCTTCCACTTGCCCTGTTAATCCTTTCTGACACACCATACATCTCAATGTAAACCGGTTTACATCAGTAAACTGTCTTTTTCTTCTGGCTTCATCTGCTAACTCCAAAGCCTGTGCAAGGACAATGTCATCAGATGCTGAAAAAATTGTCTGGGGTGGAATATCTGAGTTGGGAATTTTACGCTCAAGTGGATCATAGTGAATACCATCATAAATTAAAAGAACCCGTTTGGCATAGCCAGCATCTTCCCCGAAACGATCAATTCTAACCGTCTGAGTGTCCACTACACAAATTTCACATTGATAGAATTTAGACAAAATGGAAACCTCAATTGCACCTCCCCATGTATCTTCTCTTCTGATCCATTCACAGTATTCCTGGTTAGTTTTCCCTAGTACTGCCTCACTATAGGATTCTGGATCACTTGCTACTATCTGAGCTATAAGATTTCTCATCTCTGGGGCACATCCTGGGTCATAAACCCCACCTTCTACCACATAGTATATACTGGTAAAGAGACATGAGTTATCTGCTGGAACAACCTTCCGAGCAAGCACAGGGAGTGCTTCCCTGACTGAATTAGGAACAGTCCGTTTTGTAACTATGGGTGACTCAGTCTTGGGCTTGGCTGCATCTTCTTCAACTATTAGTGTATCACCTGTCAAGAAAAACAGAACAAAGAAATAAAGGTATAGTTTACTGCAACAATTAAGAGCATGAACTACAAGTCCCTCCCTACTGAGTCTCAGTCGACCATGAATTAATCTTTCAGATGCCCCCTCCCCGACATTATCTAATAGGGTAATAATATTCTGTAGGCTGAAATGGTTACTGGGGAAATATATTAAGTACTCTGACACTCAGGTAAAGCATTTTAAAAACTGGCCATGAATATGTAGATAAGATTTAGATTTTACTGCCAGCATGATTTCCTGGTGGCTAGATGCAGAAATCAGGAAACTCAAAATTTCATTGTAGGGTTTCTAGAAATAGCTTTAAAATTTAACAGTCAACAATTTCTGAATGTTTTCTTCAGATGTCAACAGGATTATTGTGCATACAGAACTACAGCTCACTGAGTTTTATGACACATTAAGTGTGTTTTTGGAATTACAACCTATTGCTGAATAAGATTTATACACACCGAGAGAGAGAGCATATTCCCCATTTTAAATAGATGAGAAGCTACACTAATCCTCTTCTGCATCAGGGTAGGCTGAGAATATTCAATACTAATAGCAAAAATCTGAAATTTAATTATTGGGTAGTAACAACCAACACCCAGCCAATTTTAGACAATTATAGGATGTCAAAACATGTGTGTCATTGTTTCAATATTTCCTGTTATGTGATTGAATACATGCTGTGCTTCAGAAATATTTTGCAATGTGTAGTTTCCCTTCAAAGAAATGTTGCACCACTCATCTTTTGATAACTACATTTTTTTAAGAAGACAGCCTAATATTATTGCTGGACAGAACTATTCCTCTTAGACTGCCAATACTAAAGGGGATGGGTAAGAGGAGAACGTGGAAGACAATAGAACTGCTTTATTCTAAGATATATAGGACGTAAACCCAGCAGAGCAGAAGCAAGGGCACTCCTGCATTTCTATCAGTTTCCTGTTGTAATAATCAGAAGCAAAAGTAAAGAAAGGGAAGCAATGTATTTTGGCAATTTTTGGAGTGTGTCTAAACTTCCTCCTCCCTGTATGTGGACTTGTGGGGGGCATAAATAGCTTTGGATCCTTGCAGCTTCCTAGAACACCCCCTTTTTGCCCCACCATGTTGGAGCTCCAACACTGTTTGGGCCAAGACACCTGAGGAGGAAGAAACAAAAAAGGAGACTCTGACATCAGGTCTCCTTTCCCAACACTAAAGGGGTAGATCCATTCTATCCTATAGCCTATGGGACACACTTCCAAGGAACACAGGATTGCATTCTAAAACCATTTGTGAAAACACTCATTCAGCTGCACCAACCGAAATCAGGCTTGTCCCTTCCTTACCAGCTGGCAGAAAAGGAAATGACAGGTGCCCTCCAGATGTTACTGGACTATGTCTCCATCACCTCTTACCATTGGTCATGTGGCTGGGGCTGGAGGGAACTGCTTGAAACACCCAAGAGGGCGCCAGATTGGGGAGGAAGGATAGATACATCCATTCTAACTAGCGAAAAAACTGGACGAAAATCCCAACCTACGTTAATATTACAGGCTGCTTTTAATCAGTGTTGGGACATAATTGGATCCGCTCACCACCTTGGATCTTACCTTTGAAAAGTGTGGTGATGGCAACCAACTTGGAAGCCTTTAAAAAGGGGGACAGACAAATTCGCGGAGCCGAATAATACCAGTAACTGTTGGTTACAATGCCTACCTACCCTGTGTTCCCAGTTCCGGTGTGAGATGCCTCTGAATGCCACTTTGCGAGGACGCATATCCCAAGGCTTCTCGTGAACTGAACCATTCGTCCAGCTACACAACAGCAGGCAACACTACCACACATCGTACAGGGCCAGGAGGAGTTTCGAGAGACACCCCCCGGCTTCTCAGGAGGAAGCTAAGACACCCCTCCCCACCCCACAAAATTTATCATCTGAAGAGGCCTACCAGAGTGGATGCCGAGCTCCCCGAGGCGCCGCTCCTCGTCGCTGAGGTCGAGGCCGAGCGGGGGGAAACCGAGCAGCAGGCGCTGGGCCTTGACGGGGACCCCGGTGAGGGTAGCGATCGCGGCCTGGAGCTCGCGCAGGCGGGAGTGCGCCGTGAGTCCGGGCAGCGGATAGGAGCCGCTCCGGGCTTTACAGCGCAGCCGCAACATCTCGCCGCCTGATGTTTCAGCGTTGTCCCGGCGGCGGCTGCCGGGTTTCAGAGCCCCCCAACAGCAAAATGGCGGCGGCTACCGGCAGCCCTCGCGTCTCCTTCCTCAGACTTCCTATTGGTCCCTTTCCCCCATCGAACCAACGTGCACGGCACCGGAGCAACCAATCAGATTCGGGGGCGAGCTCCCAGCCAAAGATCACTTGAAAACATCCGGCTGAGGCGACTCCCACGCCATTCCTTCCACGCGCATGCGCGGTAGAGGAGGCTCTGAGCCCGGAGGCTTAAGATGCCTCGTCGCGGCGGCGGCGGCTTTCTGCGCTCCCTTTCCCCCACATTGTTTTGTAACAGGAGCCGCTGCTACGCGGAGTCTCTTTGCACATGCGTTTGAGGCGTGGGTCCCGAACCGTTTGCTGCATTACATTTGGCCCATTATAAGTGCCACCAGCCCTCTGGATAAGTTTCCTGCCCGCGGTTACGTGTCGTGGACGGGTTGCTTTTCAAACTCAGTCCGCGAACGTGTGCACGCATTGAGTGTGATGCAACACCCAAGAAATATGATGGATGTACAGGGCTTATGTAATTTCATGCACATCGTTAAATACACCACCACCCTTGAGAAATACCCTTGTGATCATACGCAAGTGTACCATAACCCTCCTTTTGCCACTGTTTTTTTCCGTTTCCCTCTTTCTGCGTTTCTTTGCGTCACTTACTGAATTCGCACCTCGTAGCCGGCGCTGCCGGTTGGCCGTTTTCATTTCCGCATCTTCGCAGAGCCGGCCTCCTTTTCCCTCTCGGCGTCTGGAAGGTAAAATAGGATGCACCTGGATACCTGCTGCTGAGGTTTCGGATGCACTGCAGTACCCCGGCTTCACTGGCCTTTGGGGGCAGGCAGGTGGGGGCGGGCTCTTTCTCAATCTGCATTTCTGCTTTGGAGCTGCCGGACCGGCTCCCGTTCTGTGCTCAGGACGCTGGACTTGCTGTCCCCGGCGACGGCGTGCTAAATTCTGCAGGTGTGTTGGGCCCGGCGGGAGGAAAGGCTCTTTGAGCTTGATTCTGAGGCTCCAGCTGCTGAACTGACAGGAGGGCTCTAACTCCAGATATAAATCCTCGTCAACAGTTATTCGCGGCTACATGTCTGAGATCGCCGGTGTGTGTTGCTGATGGCTTTGGGCTGATCACTGTAATGCTCTCTAGTCTAGAAAGGTCTTTAGCAACTGGAATTCTGCAAAAAAGAGAGAAAGAGAAAGATGATGATGTAATTGTCAAATGAAGGATGCTAAGGATTATATAGGGTGCAAATACCCATTTCCTGGTTGTAAAGGTCTCTTCAGGGAGAATGACACCTTTTCCTACTTTCCTTCTTTATGGGGTTTGTGCCATCCTTGAAAATGGTACGATGAGTATCTCTTGACCTTGATTAGCAACTTCAATGTAGCTTCTGCTTTTCCCTGCCCCACTTTAGTCCCTCTTGGAAGGAACATCAGGGACAGATTGCTGTTTGTGCGTGTTATTCTTTTACTGCCAGAGAGCTGAGCATTTCATAATACTTGTCCTTTGGTTTTCCAGAAGAAGGCTGGCGATCAAAAGTGAGGAAGTGTGTGCCTTGCAGCAATGTCAGGGGATGCAGCTCCAGTACCGGAGCAGGTAAACAGCAACGGTTGCAACCAAGAAAACAAACCTTCAAATCAGCGATTCTCGGAGAAAAAGTGCTGTGAGTATCTGTGATGCTTTGCTTTGCTGGGCAGCACATATATAAATACTGAAACAAAAGTGGTGTGTGGGTGGGTGTGCTCCAACTTTCAAATTTATCACAGTGCTAAATATAGGGATGAATTATTCCCCGGGGCACAACCCTTGATGGTATGAGACCAAGCTAAATTATATATAGCGACAAGCTTTCTTTTAGCCTCACCTGTTTCACAGGGGTTGTTCTGAGGAGAAAAAAAGCTCTGGAAAGAGAAGAGGGAGAACCATGTTACTTTGATATGTGTAGTTCTGTGAAAGGCAGAATAAAAATAAAATTGGAATAGAAATACTTTAAAGGAATTGATAATGGGATTAATCTTATATAAATTACTGTCAGCCTGGTCCACAGCTACTTGTGTCATTTCTGTTAAAGTGACTAAACTACTACCACTTCCCCCACTTTGAATAGCTGTATACTTTTAGAATGTCTGCCAAAGGGTTAGTTGTATGCTGTAGGACCCAAGTTTCTAGGAGACTTCCTACAACTGTCACAGAGTCATGAGATAGTTTGCTAATGAAGAATAAACAACCTCAGTACCAGGATCCTTTAACCTATATTCTTAGAACTCATTATTTGTTTTAGATCCTCTGGGAAGAGGGTGGATAAGTAAATGAATGTGAAGTCCAGTAGGTCAGTAGGGTAACTTACATTCAGTTCCTTCTACGCTGGTAGGGCTTTTTGCAGTCTTGTGATTACAGAAAATATACATGCAACTGCCAGTCTCTCTCTACCACCAGGAAATTGCTGGTCTGCACCCCATTCCAAAATATTTCTCTCTGGCTGTATGACTGTAGTCCCTGCAATATTCCTGTAATCAGTGCTTTTTTCTGGGGGGACGTATACCCTAAACATTTTGTGAATCTTTGTACTTTTGTTCATTTACTCTTTTTATTTTTCCCTATTTGAACTATAAAATGGTGATTTTCTTGAGTCAAAATTGAGAGTACACCTAAACATATTTAAAGGAAAAAAGCACTGCCTGTAATAGTTCTAGTACAGTGGCCTGCATACAATTTGTTTTTGCTGACATGACAATTTTTTTAAATTTTAATTTTTGGACTCTCTGTCTTGAACCCTATCCCTCAATTTTTTGTAATGACACTGACTTACTTTATTGGTTGAATCCTATACTACTGTAGTGCACCAGCCCAGTCTCTGAGTAGCAAGAGACTGTGGGGGTGCCTGCACTTTACTCAAGGCTTCATTTCCTTGGAATGAAGGTCAGCAGACTGTGGTGCCTTTAGGATACATGGTTTTATTTACACTTACCGGTATATACAATATGAGTATGGGATGGAGGGGCTCATATAGCATTAACACCACACCATATATTGCTTCTCCATTAGGCTTCCAGGGAAGCCCAAAATTCAGCTTCAGATCCAGGACAGAACAGATACGTCTAGCTTTCAGCACCACACAGCACTCATACCATACTATTGTTCTTCATCCTAAGATGACAGTGGCATCCAGTCAGATGAGGGGAGTGGAGAGAATGCCAACCCTCCATCCCTGGACAGCACCATCAGTTAGTTGTAGCTATTGCAGTCTAGTTCATTCTCTTTGACATGCCAATGAGAGTACTTAAGTGGCCAGCTAAAGCAATTCTCTTACATAGAAATTTTGTCTGACCTGTTCAGCAGCCTCTCCTAGATTGTAACCCTCACTGGGTATAGACTCACAGGTCTGGAAGGAATCCAAGGATATAATCCAGACTGACACACAGACACCCAACTCACAATGCTATTCTTTGAAAATTAAGGCCAGACAGACCCTTAGTAGGGTTTAGTCATGGCAGACTGACAGTTTGAGCAGACAATCAGTGTAGAGCAGGCTTCCTCAAACTCAGTCCTCCTGATGTTTTTGAGACTACAATTCCCATCATCCCTGACCACTGGTCCTGCTAGCTAGGGATCATGGGAGTTGTAGGCCAAAAACATCTGGAGCTGAAAAAGCAGCTTGAGGAAGCCTGGCTGCTTTTTCAGCATAAGTTGCCCAATTCCTTCAACACAAAATTTTGATCTGGAAAATTGTTGTTGTCTGTGGTTTTGTACTTTCGGGACTGTCACACCGAAGCTAAAATGTGATTTAACTCTTGTAGAGATAAGCTATTAAAATTGTTCTTTCTCTCAGGCATGTGGGAAAATGATTGCTTGTACATGAGAGCATGAGCAAAGTTCTTATTGTTACAGGGTGATTTCATAGCTAGAAGCATCCTTGGAGCATGAACAGCGCGTGAACAGCTCGTGCTGTCCCATATGATTGGCTAACGTAGCATGGCCTGATCGCTCGCATGGTCTAGTACCAAGGTCTTTATCTGCTGGCTAGAACAAATTGCTTGGCTTGTATTTCTTGTATCTTTCTATTTCACACATTTCACACAATAAAAGCTGTGCTGCATAAGCCCTAGGAGCAGCCATAATTCGGAACCTATCCTGGTGTGAGACTGATTTTCTCTGGATGCCGAGCTGCAACTCGACAAATTGGTGCCCCGTGTGACTGCCTTCGAACTTCACGTTGTTTTTCATTATTCAGCACTCACCAACACATCGTTCATCCACGTAGTGGATCCCTGGTGAGTGCTCCCGTGTGATTGCCTTCGGATTCAGCACTCACCAACACATCGTTCATCCACGAAGTGGATCCCTGGTGAGTGCTCCCGTGTGACTGCCTGTTTTTCATTATTCAGCGCTCACCAACACGTCGTTCATCCACGTAGTGGATCCCTGGTGAGTGCTCCCGTGTGTACAACGTTCAGCTCTCACCTCGCCCCGCAAGGGCTGCAGACGCGTCATTCATCCACGTAGTGGATCCCCGGTGAGAGCTCCCGTGTGAATGTGATTCTGGACTACGTTACGGTCTTATCAGCACTTATCTCCGCCCGGACAGGGCAAAAGGCGCCTCTCTCTCATCCTCCTACGGATCCCTCGGTAAGTGCTCCCTGCTCTTTTTGCAACTCTTGCAATCATGGGAAAATCTCTCTCTGCACCACAGAAAAAAATTTTTAAAGACCTTAAATTCCTTTTGGCCAGTAACAACCTTGCTGTTCGGAAAGCTGACCTTAAGTCCCTTATAAAAGCCCTGGACACTCACTGCCCCTGGTTCCCCCAGGACGGAAATTGGGAGTTAGACGATTGGAAAAAAATTGGACACTTCTTTCAAAATCATCCTCAGATTGATGTCAAGGTTTTGCACGCCTGGAGTAACGTCTACAAAGCTATGTCGTGCTTAACTCCTTCAAACATTCTTCTGGCTGCCGCAACAGCTTCTTCGCCCGCCCTCCCAGCTCCCGCTTTGCCTGCCTTAAACATACCTCCTAAACCGCCGGACATTTTCCCTCCGGCTTCTCCCGTCACTCCCCTGCATTCTTCAAATTCTGCAGCACCCCCCGTTCTTCCACCTCCTGCGCCCAAGGCATTTGGCACCGCTTCTACTACTCCTCTCCAAGAATCTCTCCGTGCCGCTGCCCCATTGTTGGGTTTTGACTGTACAACTCCTAATCTCTTCCCTGTGATTGCTCCTGCCGCGCCAGGGGGAGGCCCAGCCCGGCACGAACAGTTTGATTTGAGATTCATAAAGGAACTGCATTCCTCTGTCAAGGACAATGGTTTACAATCTCCTTACACCCTGGGCTTGTTTGGCACTATTTTTCAACAAAATTTGATACCAGAGGATGTTAAGCTGTTGGCCCGCACTGTAATGCAGCCTCATCAAATGATTTTGTTTATACAAGCTTGGCACTGGGCCTGCCAACGTCGTGTTGATGGGATTCGGAATAATCTTAATAATGTTGCATTGGCTAATCATCAGGCTGCTTTGGCTGCTTTGGCTGCTGGTGCCGCCCCACCCCCAGCCCCCGTCATGTTAACCCAGGCTGATGTCCTCGATGGGTTAACGGGAGGAGGCAATTTTCTTACTGTTGCCCAACAGCTAACTCTCGATCCTCAATATTGGGAGGCCACCACGGCTGCTGCCCAAGAGGCTTTGGCCTCTGTCCCTGATGACAAAACTGAGCGCGATGGCCGATGGGGGAGTGTTAGACAAGGTCCTACAGAGCCCTATGGACAATTTGTCGATCGCTTGTATAACACCCTTAAACGGCAAGTTCAGGACGTAGCAGCCCAGGAAGTGATAGTACGCCAGCTTGCTTTTGATAATGCTAATGAGGACTGTAAACAAGTTCTGCGCCCTTTGATGACAACACCAAATATAGTCATTGCAGATGTGCTTAAAGCCTGCCAGTCAGTGGGCACTGAGATGCACAAAGCTCGCCTGCTAGCCACGGCTTTGTCCTCCACCGTGCCCCAGAATCCTGCAAAGGATAAAAGCTGCTTTGGATGTAGCAAAGTGGACCATTTTCGTGCGCAGTGCAGATCTACCGCACAGCAATGTCACTCCAGCACAAAGTGCTCCATCTTTGATACAGGCCAGGACTTGTCAATTTTCTGAAGCACATCTTAGATCACATATTGGTCACCCTGGTTATTTGGCAACAGGAATTTTACGCCTGCTGAACTTCATTTCTGGAAGGAAGAAATATTGCAGCGTCCTTTAGTGTCTTACAGGTTGCTTCCAGATCCACAGTGGGAGGGTCCAACTTCTTTGATTTCACCTAATCTCAACCTGCACTGCAATTGGAGACATCGCCATATTGATGTGCCCTGGATAAAGTCACCTTCCACAGCTGTTCCAGTGTTTCCTGGCACGTTAAAAGGCCATCTTCAACCCTATCGCGTTGGCCCCCCTTCCCCCTGGGAAGCCACCGTTTCTACCACTTATCGTTACAGTTTTGCCGCCTCTTGTCTGGGAAATGAACCTGGCTTTGAAGGATGCCCTCGTCAGACCGGCATCGCTTGGGTTTTGCCCCCCAATAGCGACCATCCCATCTGTGTCACCACGTTTCGTTGGGTTTGGATTCTTGGCTCAGCAGTGCACGGAGCAGTACATGAGGCCTATTTACAGCAAATGGGCTCCTGTATCTGCAGAAATGGCTGTGTGGCTTCTCCTGGATTGTGGTTTTTACATGCCAATAATCGAGCCACGAAATATCACGCAGGTTGCTCGGAAACAGCTATTGGAATAATTCACCATTCTCCCCCTTATTGCCCCCCCGAGCAACCAATATGGCATCGTCCTGAGTGGCCCCACAATTCCACTTCACACGGGTGGAGCCTCTCCGGGAACTTTGTAAAACGCCGCTTTCGTCGTGCTGCTCTTTTGCAGAAGGCCAGGAGGCCTGAACTTTATCATCAGATTTGGACTAACAATACTTACGTTAGAGACATTAATCATTTTGCTTCTATGCTTAACCTTTCTGATTGTTGGATGTGTATGCATATCCCTCCTCAATCAAAAAGATCTGGCATTTTATTACATGGTATTCCAGTAAATGCTTCATATAAGATTAGCAATAATATGAAGGACAATCGTATAAGTTTAATCCCTGTTTTTTTTATCGCTTATAAAAATAATGTCTTATTGTTTTCATTTTAATCACAATAGCAAAAAATTTTTAGGTCATTATCCATATTGTAATTCGACCTATGAGTACATTAATGGATCTTCTTGTTTTTTTTAATGTTACCACTTTTGCCCTTTTTAGGTGCAGCCATGAATTACCGTGATTTGCATAAATTGGCAAACTGGACAGAAAATTTGTTTAATTCCACCATCTTGGCTTTAAAAATGATTAACAAAGAAATATCAGAAATAAGAAATGTAGTTCTTCAACATCATTATGCTTTAGATGTGATCCTTGCTTCTAAAGGTGGAATTTGTGCCTTAATTCATTCTCATTGCTGCATGTATATAACTGATCAATCAACCAATATCTCTGCTACTATTGATCATATGGAACAAATGATAGCCCATAATCCTTTGAATCCACCTGAAGGTTTTGATCCATGGGAGTGGTTGTCTTCTTGGTTACCCAATGGAGTATGGTTAAGAAAAGTATTATTGATTGTAATTGCATGTATTGTTGGTTTTATTATGGTATGTTGTTGCATTCAATGCATACCCTCTTTGATTTCCCAATGCACTGCATGGTGGTACCGACCACGGCCCACCACAGGGGTTACAAGAGGAATTTATGTTGCAAAGTGTAGACGCTTAGGCAATGAAGTGTACGATTTGGACTAATGGTCCCTCTTTTCCTCTAATAATATAAACAAGAAAAGGGGATATGTGGGAAAATGATTGCTTGTACATGAGAGCATGAGCAAAGTTCTTATTGTTACAGGGTGATTTCATAGCTAGAAGCATCCTTGGAGCATGAACAGCGCGTGAACAGCTCGTGCTGTCCCATATGATTGGCTAACGTAGCATGGCCTGATCGCTCGCATGGTCTAGTACCAAGGTCTTTATCTGCTGGCTAGAACAAATTGCTTGGCTTGTATTTCTTGTATCTTTCTATTTCACACATTTCACACAATAAAAGCTGTGCTGCATAAGCCCTAGGAGCAGCCATAATTCGGAACCTATCCTGGTGTGAGACTGATTTTTCTCTGGATGCCGAGCTAGGCAGACCTAGCTCATCTTTACATGTCTCTTTATTTTTGACACTAGACCCAGTGAACTTCTTTTGCTGATGCCCCACTGAAAACAAAGCAAGTTGCATAAAAATAGAGATTTCTTCATCTGCAACTTCCATCTATTGCAGCCCAGCTTGCAGAATGGGTTGTACCCAGTTTTATGTTACAATCTACTTCCTTTAACCTTGGGATAAAAAAGAAATTTTGTTTAGGTTATTGCCAGATTACATTTGAGAGGAGAATTTATCTCATTAGTAAAATTGGTAGGCTTAGGGGTTCCATCTTATTTCAAGAGATCCAGGCAAGCCAGTAATGAAGTAGCTTCAGGTTTCTCTCATATGATATCTGTCAGAGATGGATATGGCCACACATTGGTAAAATGTTCAGTTATGCAATTTAATCCTGGATCCACTATAATAATTGAAAATGTTGGTGTTGACTGAAATGGAGCCAGGATTTCTTGGAGTAGTAGCTACAGCAGCCACCCCCAAACTAGTCCTTCCATAAGCTGGGGCTATAAATGGGGAGAAATTCTATTTAGTTTGCATTTAAAAATAATGACATCTAGAGAGTATCATGTTGGGAAGGTTTGTCTGCAGGTTCCACAGACATCTGTTTTGTTAGGCTTTTGATCATTGCTGTACCGAATACAAATCATGTACAGGTATCTGCCATGAACTGCAGACTATTCTTTCACTGAAGAAAAATAATATATTTCTTGATAAGCATCATACGCAGCTCCTATTCATTTGAGGGCAGCATGAATGATAGAAAATTCGGCATCTTAGACGAAAAGCAAATATAAGACCAGTTTAATTTTTTTCAGATCTATATTCATCATGTTCAAAAAGGAAGCTGGCTCCATTGGTGTTCTCAAGAGGGAGCGTGACATTTTTCTGTTAACCTTGAAAAGCCCACAGCTTAATTGGAAAATATTTTTAACTGAGTGACACGCTCAGTTTGAGGCACATAGTCAGTGGCTATTTTTTGCTTGGTTAGCCTTCTTCATTAGCAAACACCTGATACAACCATGCCATAGTCCGCTGATTGATTATGAGAGCAGAACACGGTGTCCTTGTCTATGGCAGATGTATGGGCAGAAGGAGTTGTGGGAAGCCATCATTACTTTGGCTTATTGCCAGCATTTTTCTTTTTCAGTCTTGTAGAAGTCACCTATTCTGTCTTTGCTTTCTTTGCAGCATGGGCCTCTTATATGACCAATTCCCCTACTCTGATTGTAATGATTGGCCTCCCTGCAAGAGGCAAGACCTATGTGTCCAAGAAATTAACTCGCTACCTCAACTGGATTGGAGTGCCTACAAAAGGTTTTTCTATATTTCTATGCATGAGATATAATAGTTATTACGCAGTTAAAATAATAAATAGTTTCTGATCAGCTGCAAGTGGCTGGGGAAGTTGGTAGTTAGAAGCTTGCATTAATCCAGTCCTGGTTGATTGATTATGCCTAGATGCGGTTATCTTTTTATTTCTTCCTATAATTGAAAGGTTGTTCTGAACAAGTGCTAAATAACAATGGTATCACAGTATTCTACTTTTTGGCAGTGTCAGTACAAGGCAAAGAAATATGTTTCAGTGGTGCTTTAGAAGTCTAATTTCAGCTCTGTTTTTTTGAAAAAAGTTTCTTATTGCGATCCCCAGAGTCTTTAGGTGGTTGAGAATCCCAAACAAGTTGGTGGGCCTTTATAAGCATAGTGTTTGTGACTCAGTTTTCCCCATTTGGAAAATGGAAATAGCCAGACTTTCCTTATTTCATTTATAGGTTAAAAATATTAACAGAGGTATTCATGTAGAACAGCAATATTTGTACTTAGATCACAAACAGATGCATTGATGCCATGTTTTTAATTTCTTAATCTCCTTTTTTAAGTGAGGCCCATGGGGAGGGGAGGGGAGTGAAGTGAAAATCTGAATGAATAGTGGTATTTCGATGACTGGAATTTAGATACCAGATTTCCATCTGCTATTAGTACTGTAACACTATTTATTATGGAATGTTGACAACTGAATTTCCATTTTGTGAAGTATTTAACTTAGGAGTCTACCGCCGTGAAGCAGTACAATCGTACAAGTCATATGATTTCTTCAGGCATGATAATGAAGAAGCCATGAGGATTCGAAAGTAAGTTAATGCCAGCATCTCTCAAAATATGGGTGACTGTTAAATAATAACAGATAATCATAATTCAGTATTTATGTTGCTAGTTTTGGAATTCACTAAAATTAACCTCAAAACACAGGGAGATGTTATTTTTAAACCTTTGAAGATAGAAAAGCCAAGATATCATTCAACTTTTAGTAAGTTATCTCTATGGGAAATAAATAAATAAAAGGAAGGGCAGAATAGTAGGGTAGAGAGGGGCATGTGAAGAAACTATCCTGCTGTACCAGGGGCAGCCCATCCCATTTCGCCACCCCCATATCTGATTCAGTGGGTTGCACTATAAAATAAACAGGGAGAAGGCTATTGCTGTATAACATATTCCACTGACTCACTACATCCAGTACAGTAGTGCCTCGAGTTACAAACACCTCAGGTTACAAACGCCACTAACCTGGAAGAGTTACTTCGAGTTGAGAACTTTGCCCCAGGATGAGAAAGGAAATTGTGTTCCAGCAGCGCAGCAGCAGCAAGAGGCCCCATTAGTGAAAGCACGCCTGTAGTTAAGAACAGTTTCAGGTTAAGAAGGGACCTCCAGAACGAATTAAGTTCGTAACTAGAGGTACCACTGTAGTTTGGTTTGATGTTGTCTTTGGTTTAAACCATCCTACTCAATGATGATGATTATCTTGCAGACAATGTGCCTTGGTGGCCCTTGAAGATGTGAAAGTTTATCTCATGGAGGAGTCTGGCCAGATAGCTGTAAGTGCACACAAGATTCTTGGCCTTCAGCTGGTGGTTTGGGACCCACTACAGGCGGGACCGAGACACAAGAGCACCACTCCCATCACGTAAATACATACAGGGGAAATTAAGAATTGGCCTCACAATGTATGTCTGGGCTAATGGCGTGTCCAAGATCTCAAGGTGGGCCCTAAATGAATTAGAGTTTATGGCACAAGCCCAGAATACATCTACTCGTATCTAATAACAGGATGTAATTTCTCATGGCTTTCTCTCCAGGAAAACCCGCTCTTTAGCAGTGAATTGGAACAAACAGCAATTCAGTTTTTCTGTGGAACTGTTTTCAGCAGTAAAACTGTTTTCATGGGGAAAGCGTTGCGGCAAAAGAAGAAGAAGAAAGAGAAAGCTCTTAGACACGTAGAATCATAGAATTGTGGAGTTGGAAGGGATCCCAAGGGTCATTTAGTCTAACCCCCTGCAATGCAGGAATCTCAACTAGATCATACATGAGAGATTGCCATCCAACCTCTGCTTAAAAACCTCCAAGGAAAGAAAATCCGCCACCTCTCATGGGAGGTCATTCCACTGTGGAACAGCTCTTACTGTCAGAAAGTTCTTCCTGATGTTCTTGCTTGGACTCCAAGATCATCTGCTAATGCCCTTCTCTGAGTACCTCTCCCATCAGAAACTGATTAATTGAAGTAAAGTTGGTATCAACTACAGAGAGGACTTTTCTTGGCTAGACTGCCCTAGTTATGGAACTTCCCTCTCCATAGGGACTTGTCCAACCCCAACATAATCTTTTAGGTACCAGGCAAAATGTTTTTACTCCCCCAGGTCTTTTAAGCACTGTTTCTGATATTTTATTAGCGGTCAGTTTCAGTGTGTTCATTGCTTTATTGTTGTGAAGCATCGTAGCATCAAATTTAATGAAGGGCAGTAAACAAATGTTTGAATTCATAATTAAGGCTGTCTCCAAATACTGCTTTCTGAAAAGGTTGGAGTGTGTTGGACTTGTAGGTGTCAAGAGGTGAGAAGTTCCAAAGATTGGAGCCACAGCCGGAAAAAACTTCCTCGTTTGTCCCCGCCAATCTCATTTACTTGGGTAGCAGGGTCCCTACCCCATGTCAATCTATCCTAAGTTTGAGTTTTTATCTCTGTTTATATTTGTTGTGTCACCCTAGGCTCTCAGAGAGGCAGCAGATAAAAATGTAATAAAGATTTTAGTATGTGGTTTGAGTTGTAATTAAGACCTGGAAGTTCTGCTTCATATGCGCAGTGAGATCCTGCCAGCTTATCTATTTAAAAATAATAAGGTGTGGAGTCCAGTAGAGTTCTTTGAGATTTTGTTATGAGGCGGACTTGAATTCAATCCATTATTAAATGTTTAGCTGAGATTTAAAGCTGTCTAGGCATGTGTGTATTTGTATGTTACCTGCCTATTCTTCTAAAGTTCCTTGGACACCTAAGTTTGATGGGCACATTTGTCTATCTCTTTAAGGTCTTTGATGCAACTAACACAACTCGGGAGAGGCGGGACATGATTTTGACCTTTGCTAAAGAAAATTCTTTTAAGGTGATGACTTCATTACAAGCTTGTTGCCAGTTCAAATTAAAAAATGAGCTTGTCTATCATTGTGTGCTAGAGCAGGGGTGGGTGCGGGTGGGGGATGTGTAATAAGTTCTCAGAGCAGGTTACCTCTCATTTTGGATTCTTTTTAATTGGGAAGGAATTATCTAAATTTCTAAATTAGGACTTACTGATTATTAAATTATTATTACTGAAATAGAAATTTTAGGGGCCTGATGACAGCTGTAGATACAAAATCTAAATGAAAGTAAAAACCCATTAAGGTGGTGGGCCCATATCGGGTAAAGCCAGAGCAAAAGTGGCTGGACCACCCCATTTCTCTCTCCTCCTCTCTTTCATTGTTTATTTCACTTCCTCCCTCTGCCTCTCCTCTTCTGCTACCATCCTTTCTGCCTCTCTTTCTGACCCTCCCTTTTCTCTCCCCAACCTTCCTCTCTACCCAGTGATCTGCCTGCTGGTGGCAGAGAATTCCAGTGGGCGGTGGGAACTGATTGCATACCAAGGCCTTTTGAAATTAGGCTGAGGGGGCTGCAGCCTGTAGAGGACTTGCAATTTAATAAGCATCTTTCCTCCTCCAACCCCCAACCCTTTTGCAGGTGTTTTTTGTGGAGTCTGTCTGTGATGATCCAGAGGTCATTGCTGCCAATATATTGGTGAGTATTTGACATATTCCAGAGGTTGGCCTACTTAGATTTTCTTTGTTACAGATTACTTAGCTGGCATTAGTTCGGCGTTGCTAGAAAGAGACCACCATTTTGTTTGTTTTAGACCAGCTCCACATTTCATGCAGCATTTGTTCTTGCTGCTGGTTTGGCGGTGTTGTGTGGATATTCATCACAGAAAAGGCATACTACAGATTGGATGTAGACTTCCTGTGAGAGGAACTCTGTTCAGGGGAATGCTTCTGCCAGGGAAAAGGGTGTAGGCAGCAATTTTCATGGGTTCCTCCTTCTCCCTGCAGCTCCCTGGAAATCTGGTCTTGAGGGTTGAATCTGGATTCAGTCCAGTTTGAACACCACTTGAAAAATATCAAACAAAATAATGGCACATATTGAAGAGCTCCTCTTAGTTCTCAATGAGAGCTGGGGCTGGCTCATCCATGAGGTAAAGCGAGGCTACCATCTCAGGTGGCAGAATCCATAGGGGCAGTAGATCTTGATGTAGATCTTTACATTTTCTCCCTTGTTCTTCCCTGGTGGGGAGGGGGATGCCATTTTGTGGTTCACCTCAGGTGCCAAAATGTCTTGGGCCAGCCCTGATGAGAGCTGTCCAAGGCCATTCAGTGGTTTTGTTTTTTATATTGCAGTATTAGACAGTTCTGTTGCCAACACTGTCTGTTCCAAGACTCTTGTTTCAAGTTCTCAAAAGGGTCACTCTATACTGTGGCTGGAGTTCCCTGGTATGTGTCTGCATATGTTTATGGTCACATTTTGCCCTTCACACGTTATGTAGTACACTTGTTGCAATGGGGTGACCCTGGTCTTTGCCAGAGTAACCATGTAAATTGGCTATCAGCACTGCAGTTACATTTCCTGCTAGCAGCACACCTGCATTTTAGTGTCATGCTTAGATGTCAGGTTACACAAGATAATGTGTGTCTTTACAGATTCATCAGTCCAATTTTCAAATGGCATGTGATTTTAATGACAAAAGCTATCTGCAGTTGTAGACTGTTGAAACCCCTTTCCCTCACCTGGAAAAGGGGGTTCAACACTTGAGGTTATTTCCCCACTTGAGGTTATTTTTCCACCAGCCAGGCTGCAATATCTGAAGTAAACCCAGCTGGGAGAAATGGCCCTGCAAATGTAGAGGAGGGATTTTTGGCCTGGCCTTAGAGATCAGCGGAATGGTGGTTTGACCCCATATAAGACACTTTTTAAAGAATTTCCGGGCTTTGTGAGTAAATAAATCCAGAACATCTTAGTGATCATTGGGTTTGCTTATTTCTATTTCAAAAGTAATTTTATCAAGCTTATATGTATCATATACTTCCCCCCTCCATAATTTTACTCCAATGGGGTGGGTGGGTAGGGTGTGTAAGTAATAGCTTTTGGCAATGGCTACTTCCTTATATGCAGAGCTTGAAGAAAATAGTGTTTGTTTAGGTATGGTAACTTAAGGCTAATGGATGTATTTACGTAAGTTATGTAAGACTTTGGAAGCTAAAATTAAGTCATCAAATTATTGACCTTGGAACATATTTTTGGCACAAGCTTGCAAACAGCATGCATGGAAAGGTAATAGAAAGGGCAGCCCAGTCCATCTATTCCCAAAGCAAATAATGCACTATTCATTTAGTATTGTCCTTTGTTTCTGTGCCAGGATGATGCAGACATTTAAACAGTATCTTTTTGTTTGGAAGCTTAGGGATCATGTGTGTTGGAGCCATGCTGCTTCAGGAGCAGCCAGTCAGACACTTGTTTCACTAGTGTTTTTTCTTTTCTTTTTATGTATAAAGTTTGCTTAACTTTTGAAACAACTTTCTTTGTTGATCAGGAAGTGAAGGTTTCCAGCCCTGACTACCCAGAGAGAAACCGAGAGAATGTGATGGATGATTTCCTAAAGCGAATAGAATGCTATAAAGTCACCTATCAGCCTCTTGATCCAGTTAATTATGACAAGTAAGAGGCAGGACAAAGGAGTCGGGAGATTTTCAAGTTGTTGTATGTGTTTGGGGTGGAAATGAAGCCAAGAAGTGAACTACATGTGGTGACACTTCAGCATTTCCACAAGGATATTGTATGAGACATCAGAAATTCAGTTGGTCTAAACCAGGCATAGGCAAACTCCAGCTCTCCAGATGTTTTTGAGACTACAATTCCCATCATCCCTGAGCACTGGTCCTGTTAGCTAGGGATGATGGGAGTTGTAGTTCCAAAATATCTGGGGGGGCCAGAGTTTGCCTATGCCTGTTGTAAACCAAAACAGGGAGAGGAAGTTCAAATGAGCTGACTTCCTCTTTCCACACACTTGTTTAGTACATGCGAGAACACACTCCATAGTAGCAGAAACAGCAATCTCTTATACCAATATCCATTCTTGCTTCCCGGGAATGTTCTAGGATTCCTCTCTGCTTTTTAGAATTTTAAGCACTAAGCTTGCATGTTTGAAGTTCTCCATCTCTGAGAACTGGAAACACTTTGGAAAGAAAAGAAAGAAGGGTGTTTTTTCCCCCTTGTAGCTTCATTGAAATATGCTTCTGACACTCTTAAGAAACTAAGTATTCATCACCTTAGCGCAAACATGTCTGGTTTGGCTCGCAGAGTTGCACTGTCGCTACTGTAAGTGGCAGTGTCATAATTACCTGGTTTGGAAAACGAATTTATCCAGCTCATAATCGACATCATTTCCTGTAGGTATTTCTCTGCACATATGCGGAAAATCATTTCTGAGCTGAGCAGTGAGTTTTCAACTGCCCCATGCATATTTATGTATTTTCCATCACCAACCCTGTTTCTTGGTTTAAACTGGGCTATGTTATACAAAAGCCTCCGAAGGATTATTTTTAAGGCCCTGGCAGATCTCTGATGAAACTTTTCATCTCTGATGAAATTTTAAGCCAGTTCCAAATCCAGCTGAGGGGAATTCACACCACACTGTATCCTGTATTTTCACAGCAGTTTGTGATCCCTGTGGATATGCTGTTGTAAATGAGTTCAGTGATCCAACTTTACCTGCAGCTCTTAATATGTATACATTCACTTATAGGTTGTGAAACATGTACATACGGAAGAAAATACATACTGAATTATTATATTGATAATGTTTCTGGTGTTTTCTGAATTCCAGAGACCGTTCTTTCATTAAAGTGATCAACGTAGGGCAGCGCTTCCTTGTCAACAGAGTCCAAGATTACATCCAAAGTAAAATTGTCTATTACCTTATGAATATCCATGTTCAGCCACGCACCATCTATCTCTGTAGACATGGTGAGAGTGAGTGCAACCTGGTTAGCAAGATTGGTGGGGATTCAGGCCTGTCAGCGCGAGGGAAGCAGGTATGGTCTATGCATAAGTTTTGTTGCTCTCTGTATTGGCATTTTAAGAGCTAAGTTGAGGGTCAGATTTTCTGCCAACATTCACCTTCATTTGTGCTAAGCACAGTCACAAGTCACAGTAAGCCACACTTAATGGTTCAACGTGAATGCTCCTTCCTTGCACCAGGAGGAATCAAATAAGGAGCCCTTCATTCACTTCATTCAAACCAAGGGTTGTAGTTTGGGAGTGAGACAAATATCAATCCTTCATTTTGGGCATAACTCTTAGCCCAGGGATTTTGATTTGTTTCCTCCTACTGTGAGTGGGGACAAGGTGCAGTTTGCTCGTGCATGTTAAGCCATGATTTACAGTGCACCATGATGTGCCAATGCAGCCAATAATTGCAAAGAAAAGAATCATAATCCTAAATTTATCACCCTGCTAGGTTTCCTGCTGGTAAAATTGTTCCATTTATTAAATGGCTTTCTGAGAAAACACCTGCAGATGTTTCATTCATTCATTTGAAACCTCAAAGCAGTTTTCTTCATTATTTAAAAACATGCAGAAGATGGTTAAAATCAACAGTAGCTAAAAAGAGATAAAACACGTATAACATACATATCTGAAAGTTACACAACTACAGTCGTACCTTGGTTGTCGAATGGAATTCGTTCCGGAAGTCCATTCGACTTACAAATCACGGCTTCTGATTGGCTGCAGGAAGCTCCTGCAGCCAATCAGAAGCCATGGAAGCCCTGTCAGCCTTTCAGGTTCCAAAAGAACGTTTGCAAACCAGAACAATCATTTCTGGACTTGCGGCATTTGGGAGTCAAAACGTCCAAGTTCCAGGGCATTCAGGATCCAAGTTACGACTGTATTGCGTGTGTATCAATTTAATAATTCTTTTGTAAGTCGAATGCCTCATTCTTCAATTAATTTTATAGAGTTGTGTGTGATCATTCATATTGGATAGGTTCCTAAACTTAAGTTAAAAGTATACTTTTACTTGTCTTCACAGATACATTATTTCTAGAACAGGAGTGAGGAAATCTTTTCCTATGAAAGGTCATTAGCCCATAGGAAAAGTCAGTTGGTTGCCACAGCCAATGGTGGACAAAAACCACAACAAACTTGGTGGAGTTTGCTGCACTGCAAATCTCTCTTTGTTTTTGTGAAACCCCATTCTTGTGGGCTGCATGAAATTAAGGTTGGCTCCAATCCTATATAACAAAATATGGCAAATTCTGTACCAAACTGTGTTTTTACATACTTTTGGGAAAGTGTGCTTTTCCAAGGACTCCCATCATCTGTCTTGATTCTGCACGCCCTTGTAGCTGCCTGCCCTAGCATTATGAGCAGCATCAGACCTAGATTGGTGTTCTGATCTTCTTAATAAAAGAAGAGGAATCTTTCCCCAGGACAACAAGCCAAAAATTGCATAGGCATCTCAATTGTATTGTATTGTATTGTATTGTATTGTATTGTATTGTATTGTATTGTATTGTATCCTAGTTTGCACAAGCATTGAAAAAGTTCATCAAGGAGCAGGAGATTGTGGATCTGAAGGTCTGGACTAGCCAATTGAAAAGAACTATCCAGACAGCAGAGGCCCTGGGAGTCCCATATGAGCAGTGGAAGATATTGAACGAGATAGATGCTGTGAGTAAAATTACAGAAAAGCCACACACTGGGGGGGGGGGGTGGAGACAGTGGTGGGTGTTGCAAGTGATTTGTTTTGATGTAAGGATAATCTAAATAAAACTTTACTTACTTACTTACTTCAAGAAATTACAAGTAAGCCAGATTTTTCAAAAAGTATAATTAGTCTGAATTTCAAAAGTTTGAAGCTCAGTCTTGTGAAAGGTTGACATGCAAATTCATGAAATGTTCTGCATTTTTGGATTTTACTCATTTTGGTGCATGATGTCCTGAGCTCCTATCAAGGAGGAAGGGTGCAGTTAAAACGTAACAGACAAACAAATATTTAAATCAAAGGAAGTTCTGGCATATTCAGTAGCGTTTACTCCTAAATTAGTGGGCATGAGATTACAATCATAAATGTCATCAAAATTATGGAACCTCCATGTTTTGAGATAAAACCTTCTATAATCCACTGAAATTATTTTCACTCTTTTGTAAGTGAATGCAAACTGGTGTCACATGTGTTAAAAGGGGGAATTTCTGAATGCAGATAAATTTTCTTTTTATCTTTTGGAATTAATTCCTATTTTGCTAGGGAGTATGTGAAGAAATGACCTATGAAGGAATTCAGAGGAAGTATCCAGAAGAATTTGCACTTCGGGATCAAGATAAATACCTTTATCGCTACCCTGGAGGGGAAGTATGGAGCTGTTATCATCAATTAATAAAATATTACTGCTTTTGACTTTATAGTTTTGAAGGGATAGGCGGTGATCAACTGCTAATACAACTGCAAAATACAGTAAAACTGGAAACTACAACAGGGACTCTTACTGAGCTGATCCACAAGCTAAGACAAGCCATTGTATCTCATAATGGGAACAAGTCAAAGTGAGCTCCTCCTCACCTCTCTTCCAGAACAGTAGTAAAGAGGAGATCAGAAGCTTGCTTTTGTTTTTGATTAACTGCTTCTTGTTGTTTTGTCCACTCTAGCAAAATGTGGGTAATCTTTACTGTACATTCTTTGAACCAAGCCAAATTCAAACCGTGGTTACAGTAGGGATACTGATACTACTACTACTACTACTACTAATAATAATAATAATAATAATAATAATTCCCAGCCACTCTGGGCAGTTTACAGCATATAAAACACAACAAAATGCCAAACATTAAAAAAACAAGATATCCTGTACATGCAACAAACAAACAAACCAATAAATCAAAACCAATAATAATAATAACAATACAGTAATAGAATAGAATAGAATAGAATAGAATAGAATAGAATCGTAGAGTTGGAAGAGACCACAAGGGCCATCGAGTCCAACCCCCTGCCAAGCAGGAAACACCATCAGAGCACTCCTGACATATGGTTGTCAAGCCTCTGCTTAAAGACCTCCAAAGACGGAGACTCCACCACACTCCTTGGCAGCAAATTCCACTGTCGAACAGCTCTTACTGTCAGGAAGTTCCTCCTAATGTTTAGGTGGAATCTTCTTTCTTGTAGTTTGGATCCATTGCTCTGTGTCTGCTTCTCTGGAGCAGCAGAAAACAACCTTTCTCCCTCCTCTATATGACATCCTTTTATATATTTGAACATGGCTATCATATCACTCCTTAACCTCCTCTTAACCTAATAAAAACCCAACCCAACAAAAATGAAACAGAGGAACCATAAATTAGAACCGTTTAAAACATTTTAGTCAGTTGCCCCAACCCTCCTTGCAGCTGTGCTGATGAAGGGAGAGAGGGGAGCCTGGGAGCCTGATGGTCACTGCAGCTTGTTTCCATAATAGTTTACCATATTGTCTGAATCGGCCTATTATTAGATCTCAATTTTGTAATGTGAATATCTGAATTCATTGCGACTTCCCTAGGTAGTCTCTTTCCATATCATCAAATTTAAGTTTTAAAAAATAAAAATTCCAGCATACTCTTAAGTTCTACTTAAGTATGGTCGGATAGATTTCAGGCATTATGATTATTCTCATAACTTGGAAGAAAACCTGCTGATCTTTAAAACAGTAATTACTTCTAACTGTGGGTGATTCTGTCATAACTTAGAATTGTCACAAGGGTCCACTTAAGGCATTTGTTGTTTCTAAAGGAAGAGTCAGAAATAAGTCTAATAGATGATGGTGATTGATTGATTGATTGATTGATTGATTAACTAATTGTAACAAACTCAGCTAGGGGGCAGATTCAAACACCCAGTTCCAGTAGCAAAAACCGGAACAAGGACTTCAGCTAGTGTAACAGGGCTTCCTCCCTCTCTCTGCCCCACCCCCATGGTGCCCCTGCACTTCCCCCAGATCTGCACTGGGGGGGGGTAAGAAGAACCCCAGGAACAGTATATAGGGGAGCAGGGGGAGATTGTTCTATTAATGCCAGCATTTCTGCTTGCGCTAATGGAACAAGCTCCACGGCTGGTTTAAAAAATAAATTCTGATCACTTTGAAACTTGTGAGGTTGTAAAATCAGATGAGTGCCTTTTGTTTCTGGTAAATATTTGTTTTTGTTTCCTAGTCTTACCAAGATTTGGTCCAACGCTTGGAACCTGTGATTATGGAGCTAGAGCGTCAGGGCAATGTACTAGTTATTTCTCATCAAGCAGTTATGAGATGCTTACTGGCCTATTTCCTTGATAAGAGTGCAGGTAAGGAGCAGAGCTGTTTTTGTACATCTTTACTATTACAAAGCACGTTGTTATCTGGAACAGCGTGGGGCCAAACTGCACATGACCTAAATGCATTATTAGGAACCACATCACTATTAAAAACATACTGATGAAAATCACACAAACACAATATTTTCTTCAGGACTTCAGTGCATGGGAACCAGATTTATCATGACACCCGAAGCTCATTCCCCTCACTGCAGTTCCAGCATTAACAACTCCTCTGTGCCTATTATCCTTTTTCATTGTTCTTAATTTTCATTCTCATGATGACTGTCCGTTTTTATAAAAAAAAAATTGCTTTGGCTACAGTTCCATACACACACTTCACCTAGGAGTTATCCAAATGGGACTTATTACTGAGTAGACAAGTGTAGGATCTTATTTCTTGTAAACCACTTTGCGAGTGATTTATACGGGATATAATTGCACAGACTGATTGAAATTATCTCTTGCTAATTGGCTTTTGCACATCTAGCATTTACTATATCCTCCGAGCATTACTGTCAAGAGTCTTACCACATTGTCACACGTTTACCACAAAGTTCCTTCTGAGTTGAGGCAACAAGGAGAGTTGCATAAAGTACATTTTGGACCATGCTTGGTAGTTTTAAATTCTTATTTTAGTTGAGATTCCTGCATTGAAGGGGGTTTGACTAGATGATTCCAACTCTATGATTCCACTTGTATTCTTATAGATGAGCTGCCCTACCTGAGGTGCCCTCTTCATACCATCCTTAAACTCACACCAGTTGCTTATGGTAAGTATTTGTTGGTTTATTAATGTGGGCAGGGAGAGAGGAAGCAATGATTCTAGTGCTTACTAGTGCTTAGAATGTTAACTTGAGACAAGGTTCAGATTGCACCTGTTTCACAGAGCTAGCAGAAAGTAATTTCACCACCCTGAAACATCTTTCCCCCCCACCTCCTGTAAACTGAGCGACTGATAGGGTTGTGTTCAGTTGGTGCCCTTTTATCTGCAGAAGTGCCTTTGCCATAGCAGACACAAATACAGTCGTATCTTGGATCCCAAACGCCTTGTGAGTCGAACGTTTTGGCTCCCGAACGTTGTAAACCCGGAAGTGAGTGTTCCAGTTTGCAAACATTCTTTTGGAACCCAAACATCCAACTTGGCTTCTGTGGCTTCCGATTGAGTGCAGGAAGCTCCTGCGGCCAATCAGAAGCCACGCCTTTGTTGTTGAACATTTTCGGAAGTTGAACGGACTTCCGGAATGGATTCCGTTCAACAACCAAGGTATGACTGTACTAACAGAAGAGGAAGTTCCCCCCTACAGCTCCCAGCAGCCCACAAAATCAGCTCCAGAGTGTTGGAGGACCATCTGGAGCCGGTGGAAGGGAGCATGGAAGGAGCTGCAGAGATAAAGAAGCAAGAATGGTCAAAAAACGCCCCTTCTTCTAGCAAAAGAACAGGAAGCACCAATTGGATTGCACCTATAACCTGTCCTGTGTTGTTGAATTCTTTGCCCAAATAAGAAACAATCCAGACCGAATGTTGAGGAAACTTGGGTGCATACAGTGGAGCCCCCGTCTCTTCCTCAGAAGCATCTTTGCATTTCAGTTTTGGAGCTAAAATTAACACTTCAGGATTTTCTCTCTCTGTGTTTATTGTCCCCCCCACCCCTCCCCTTGTCTAATAATGTAGTAATGCATGATTTTAAGTGTATTCCATTTTCACATTTATGAAGGCTGTAAATTGGAAATGATTTCCCTGAATGTGGAAGCTGTGGACACACACCGGGACAAGCCACCCACAACAGTATGTAAAATATATATCAGCCCTTTCCTGTGTATTCTGTTTTGTTTGTTTCTGAACTGAAAGTTCGACCCACGACTGTTAACTTGACGTACCTAGATTTGAGCTGTCAAATCTCATTAACTTTTTACAACTTAGGCCCAAGTATTTTGGTTTCATTGGGCTATGGGTACAAAACACTTGGAAATCAATGGGAAGCTCCTAGTCCACTTCAGATGGGGCCCATTGTGCTTTTCTCATGAGGAGGGTAATCTTTTTCTGGCACACTCAGCTCCCCCCACCCTCGGTTCTGAGAAAATCTACCCTTGTAGTTTTTTTCAAAATAAGTCATGGAATATATTATCAGATTAGAACTGAGGGATCAAATTTACGGTGGGAGAATTCTCATATATGTGTGCATGTGTGCCTATTCTGATTTTTTAAATGCTTTCAAAATACTGTTTAGGGATGAATAATGTATTTCTTAGCCCTTTATGCATTTTTAAAATAATAGCCTATCATGATAGTATTTCTTAAAAAACCTCAGAAATAAATGTCTGATCTTCAGTTTGAATGTTTTAGAGCTTTAAAGTATATCGTTAATGGTTTGGGGGGGGGGGTAAAAAGCACTGCTGCATTCCAGATATGGTCCATTTTGTTGAGTTGTAAAATATAAAGATGCGTCCTTAGACTTAGTAGTTCAGGCTGCAACCCTGAACTCACTTGCCTGGGAGTAAGTTCCACTGAACTCGCTGGTGTTTCCTTCTGAGTAGGCACATCTAGGCTTTGTATTGTTGCTCTTGGCACGCAAGATATGTGAACTGCATATCTAGATATGTGAACTGTAAGATGAATCCAGGCAAGCATTTACCAGGTCACAATGTACTCCCTGTGGACATAATCACTTGAAAACCTTTACCTCCCCTGTCTGTCTAACCTGATTGGAAATCTGAGGAAGCAGAAAAAGGAGTAAAATCTCACCTCACCCATGTACCAGTCATCATGTAACAGGTGATCTATTGCCTCTTTAAGAGGTTGCCAAAGTACAGGATGAGTCCAAATTCTTGTACACACATTGTATGTTCTTGTACTGTATTAAAAGGCTGAAATGTGACCTTTGCATATCAGTTTGTCAAAAGTGGAGGGAAATCTTGTAGTGGTTAAGAGCGGTAGACTCGTAATCTGGTGAACCGGGTTCGCGTCTCCGCTCCTCCACATGCAGCTGCTGGGTGACCTTGGGCCAGTCACACTTCTCTGAAGTCTCTCAGCCCCACTCACCTCACAGAGTGTTTGTTGTGGGGGAGGAAGGGAAAGGAGAATGTTAGCCGCTTTGAGACTCCTTCGGGTAGTGATAAAGCGGGATATCAAATCCAAACTCCTCTTCTTCTTGAAGTGCCAAAATAGCAGCCAGTATATTTGATATAGTTATTTGGGGAAATAAGGTTACATTATTACAGCTTGAAACCCAACCTTACCTTTTTTTGGTTGCTTACTTTACTGTAAGAATGAGATTGCCGCGAGCTTAGTGCCATTGTACCAACAGATCTAATACACGTTGCTAAAAATGGTTTACTCACAATTCAAGATATATTTATTTTTAAGCATTCAGTTAGGCCTTTTGCCTTCAGCTCTGTAATAGCTAGTATGCAATAGATACTGCTTAGCAATCTTATAGCAATGGTTCATTCATTTCAAAAGCATTAAGTGCTTTGAATATGCAAAATCTGCATGCAACTGGTTACAGCATGACATATATATCCTATGAATTTGCTGGTTTGAAGTTTTTGTTTTACAAGGAAAATAAGTCCCAGGGCATCGTTAAGACCAAAAAATACTAGGTGGTTTCAATATACTGTGAACCACTACACTTTTGGCATGTTTTAACCTAGCTTCTCTCAGTTTATACTGTGAATAAAATAAATGTCCGGAATGTACAAAGGTATTTTTCCTTCTTTTTCTCTGAAACAAGATGCCCTCTGCTCTGCAGGAAGGCCTTCTACCCCCTACCCTCCATCCTCACCTCTCTTACTCCATCTAGATTTCAAATGATTAGATTTGCTGTTTTTTCTGGGACTCACAGAAAGCAAAACAATGCTGAAAACGCTGAAGGGCAGAAAAATACATTTCAGTGTGTAGCCACAGTAGGGTGAAAGTAAGCATGAACTACAGGATTCAACCAAGATTTTTTTGGACTTTGTTTAAATCATTTTCATTTTGTTTTTGGGCTTTTTTTTTTTATCCCATTCTAAGCCAGGGTCAAAAGCCAGGAAAGTTGTACGCATTACTGTGTCACTAAAGTAAAGGTAAAGGGACCCCTGATCATTAGGTCCAGTTGTGGCCGACTCTGGAGTTGCGGCGCTCATCTCGCTTTATTGGCCAAGGGAGCCAGCATACAGCTTCTGGATCATGTGGCCAGCATGACTAAGCCGCTTCTGGCGAACCAGAGCAGCACACAGAAACGCTGTTTACCTTCCCGCCAGAGCGGTACCTATTTATCTACTTGCACTTTGACGTGCTTTCGAACTGCTAGGATGGCAGGAGCAGGGACCGAGCAACGGGAACTCACCCCGTCGCAGGGATTCGAACCTCCAACCTTCTGATCGGCAAGTCCTAGGCTCTGTGGTTTAACTCACAGCGCCACCTGTCGCTAGTAGGCACTAAATCCATGGAACAGAAGGCAGTATTTATGTGGTTCCTGGGTGGTTACCCATCCAAGCAGTGACCAGACCCAGACTTCCTTTGGTGGCTTCATGGGCCTTCAGGCAATTCCTTGGCCAGTATGCTCAATATGAACATTTGGAACAAGTATTACTGTATTCACATGAGTTTTCCCTTGATTTCAGGACTAATCAAGGAAACTTCATGAAAAATAGAAAATACCGGTAAATGAATGAAACTGAACAACTTGGCATTGTCACTATGTTGACAGATTCACCCAAAGGGAACAGGTGTTATAGTTCAAGTGCAAGGGACAGTGCTGAACTTTTGCTTGCTAGTTCTTCCGTGACATTGCTGTGCTATAAAAGAGACCACGGGCTTAAAGCAGAGGAAGGGTTCGTGAAGACTTACTTCTGTGACTTCCTGAGAGCTCTTAGACTAGCCCAAGAAGGCTTGTGTTGGCCCAGCCCTGCAACCAGGAATTTGTATGCTAAGGAGCTCTGAAGGAGCTCTATTTCAATTGAGCATCACAGAGGGCTGCTTTAGCTGCAGCAACAAAATATTCACTCGAAATGATGTAGCCAAAAGTAGACCCTGAAAATCAGGCTGCCCTAGTGTCACACTTCCAAACAGCTTACATAAGAAAAATAGCTGAAGTCATCTGATATGTGAGCAAGAATTATATCCTGCATGCAGAGACCTAGAGCACGTAGCATTTGATATTTAACCTGCCTGAGTGGTACTGAAGGATTCCCTCCCTGGTAATACTCTACTCATTCATTTGTATTTCCCTTTTCTTTAAGAAAATACAGCTGGGTAGAAATGAACCTTATTTAGGTTTATTTTGCTAATGTTTTACTTACAATATTCATACTGTTTTCATAGGCAATAACACGGCGGGGTACAAAAAAACTAGATGTATATAAAATAAAACAACAGTTCACAATAACACGGCAGCCTCCTCCCTGCACTTATGAGAAGCACTTGGAGGAAGAGCGAAATGTGCCCTTACTCCTTCACCGCAGGAGAGCACACCATATGAAGCAGAGATATGAATATCAGTGGCATATATATATATGCCTGGCATCAACAATATTCAGTGGTGTTTTAACTGTGGTTTAAAATTCTGTGATTCGATTTCTCACCCCTTATAATATCCTCCATTTTCAATCAGAACAACCTTCCCAAGAGCCAAACCCCTGTAAGGATGAGAAGGAACAGCTTTACACCACTAGCCAGTCCGGACACATTAAAACGTCCTCGCAATTACAGTGTTGGGAGCCAGCCTCTCAATCCGGCAGGGTCTCTTCTGTTCCGGGAGGCTCGAGACGGGGCTGATCAACAAAAGCTGCAAGACAGTGTTCAGGTGGTAATATCTCTATCCTAATCTTCTATTCCAATTTCATGCACGGCAAAAATTGTGCAATATTATGTCACCTGTCACGCCTTACTTCAGAAATTGACCTTTTCAAGCCAATTGAAAGCTGGTGACACTTTACGTGAGATTATTGAACAGAATCTACCGTCAAAAGTCAGGATTCAAAGAACCTACTGTGCATGATTAAGATGCATTGTACGGGGGGGGGGTGTGTTAAATAATTTCCCTTCCAGCTGCAGCCTTTTGCACCACATTTGTTAACCTTTAGGGTGTGACTTTCACAAAAGTGGAGTAGCTCAAGAGGCCTTGATGCAAAGAACTCTGTGTGGCCTTTTAGATTTTGGCCAAAGGGTTCATGTCAGGCCACTCCAAATGGCTATGTACTTTGAAGTATTCTGGTTTGAAAATTATAGGTGGACACTTGAAAGTAATAATGATTTTTGTTGCTGCAAAACTTTCCTTTTTATGAGGAAAATACGTTTCTAGTGCTAAGCAAAAGCCCCTTGAATAAGGCTGTTATCTAAAGTGAGCATTTTAAGAGAGATTTGTCAGATCCATAGTAGTTTGTAGCTGAGTTCATGGGCTCTACACAATATACCCAACATATACATAATTTCTTACAGTGGACAGTCATATTTGCTATACAGTGGTACCTTGGTTGTCAAACAGCTTGAATCCCAAACAAATCGGCTCCCAAACACCGCGAACCTGGAAGTAAGTGTTCCAGTTTGTGAACGTTTTTTGGAAGCCAAACATCTGACACGGCTTCCGATTGAGTGCAGGAAGCTCCTGCAGCCAATCGGAAGCCGCACCTTGGTTTTCAAACAGTTCTGGGAGTCGAACAGACTCCTAGAATGGATTAAGTTCGACAAACAAGATACCACTGTACTATATATGCAGTAATTTGCTGCAGTTTTCTTTGACCCATGTATATCCCTCCGATTGGATAAATAGAGTTTTCAGCAGCATTTCCAATATCACTGCAATTTTGCTTGCTAATTTGCATTTTGCCTTTTTGCTTTTTCATCAGCTGCTTATTTCTCAGGCTACAACATAGAGCTCTGTTGCTTAATAAAACAAAGACCCAGTTTCCAGGGCGTATGTCAGACAGTAGTCTCTGCCAGAGCAAGTTCCTGGAGTGAGGCTGTAGATGAAACAGGATTTCAGACTATTTGCAATCTCTTTATTTGATATGGTAGTCCAGGATCTTTAAAAAAAATACCCAGGTTTGTCACTGTAATATATGAGAAGCAGATTGATGGAAGAACAGGAAAAACTGGTGCTGAAATCTTGTTCTTTGTAGAGCCTTTCGGCAATGACTTCAGTATAAAAAACAGTAATTGATAGTAGGCCTCACCTCCAACTAATAAGTAGTTCATGCTAAAACTGAAATGTGTTTCTTGGGCATGGTGATAAAACAAAATGCAGATGACAATTTGTTCTTGTAGCTTCTGCTCACTTGCTTTGCTTGTGGAGGGAAAGAGCTATATGTAATTATGCTAGGCCGGTAGCCATTTAACAGTCACTGGCTTGCATTTTGCAATAATTTTGGATGCAGGTTAACATTGGTCTTCTTGCTCGTGAAGACTGCTTTCTATGTGCTGTTCTGCTTTCTTGCTTTTTATATCTTCATTGAACTGCAGCTTGAGCTTTCCTATACTGTTTTTTTCTTTCTTTGCAGCTTCAAGTGGGAAGTGCTTGCCTGTGAGTATCGTTGTGAACAGCTTGCATGTGTAATTGTATGTTTTTGATAAATAAACATTTACCAAGAGATGGTTTGAAGTCTGTTTCAAAGGAATGTACATGGAGAGAAAGTACCAAATAATTCTCCTACAAATTACAGCCCCTTTAAGTTGGGTGGAATATTTTACAGCTCATAGATCAATATCCATTTATAGAAAAGTGACTTTTCTTTCAAAATGAGCAAGATGGATGAAGCACAACAAAAAATAAAGTATAAAACCTTTCTTTAAGTAAGCTTGCTGAAGCTGTACAAGCCTTATCTTTTTCATACTCCGAAGATGTGCTAAGTTTTAAGACAAAAATGGAAAGCATGACTGCAGGTGTTTGCAAATGAGTTTAAAATATGAATAGAAAAGTTTGCCATGTACTGGGTCAGACCACAGGTTTAGCTAGCTTAGTATTGTCTGCTATGGTGTGCACTGATCTCAGGCTGTGATCCATCCAAGTCCTTCTACTTATGATCCTATTTCAACTAGAGATGCCAGACACTGAACACAGAATAAAATATTATGAATACAAAGCATGAGCTCTGCCATTGAAATGTGGTCCCTACAAGACTCCATGCCGTTGCACTCGTGGGGAGGCCACGATGGTTTGCAGTTACCTATTGAGTCTACAGATATTTGTAAGTTTCTCCAATGGGATGAATTCTAGGCTAAATTCACAGCAGTGTATTCTAGGCATGCCTTGCATTGCCATGGAGACAGGATAAAAGCAAATTAATGACAAAGCATTTTGACAAAGGCATCTTCTAATCCCTTGATACGCAATCTCCTCTCGAGGCTCAGTTTACAGGAATTTTGTAAATTATATATTTGTTTCCCAATAACCCTGTAAAATGACACTTCTGCATCTCACAAAAAGTCAGAGATTACTGTTGAGAGGGTAAGGCTGAGAGCTGCTGGTCACATTCCAGTACCAGGAATAGTGGGAAGAAGTTCAGAATAGTGGAAGCAAGCTACCACGTTGCAGAAATTGCCAAGTGTGACTTGGTACCTGTAGATTCTTAGAACCTGTGCACTATTTAGAGAGTATCTGTTAAGTAATATGATTCACACTCTCTGGCCATATGAACTAATACAATTCTACCAGGAGTGAGTACAGGAATGAATACAGGAACATCAGACCATTGGTCCATCAAGCTGATAGACCAGTTTTCCACACTGACTGGCAGCAGCTGTCCAGGTTCAGATGGGAGACTTTCCAAGCCCTACCTGAAGATGGAAGGGATTGGACCAGAGACCTTCATCAAGATGCTGCACCACCGAGTTATAGCCCTTCACGCAGGAGTAAATATAATGAGGAGGTGTAGGCTATTATAATGAATTAATGAGAGAATGAGAGATAACAGAAGAGTGAATAAATATAAGTGGAAGAAATAAGAAAGAAAATTAAGAACACAGGAGAAGTTCAGAGATAGGTAGGAAGTCACAGAGTCTCCTATACCCCTGTATCTGACTTATACCCATGTATGAGCTCTGTCACACTCAATGAGACTTATTTGTGAGCAGACCTGCATAGGACTGTGTCGTAAATGTGAGTCATAAGCCATATGAGGAGACAGACTTTCTGTCATAGAATGTTGCATGAAAGAATTCATCTGTTAACAGTTTGTGAACATTCTGTGACATCTCATTGCTGCAGCCAATTGCTATTGGACATGCTTAACAAATCATCTAGCAATTGTGAATTGGTTATTGCATATTTGCTCTCTCACACACACACTTTGTAAAAGAATCCTCTGTCTTTTCTTGGTAAGGAAGGTGGTCAGATCAGATCTGATTCTGCTCTTGCAGTGCTTGTGTGCTGCAGTCCTCCTGAAATGTCATGCCTTAACAGTGCCAGCTAGATGTGTCTAGCACACCTAGACATTGTCAGTTGTCCCTGAGAAGCAGAATACAAAGAGTTGGAAAATACTATGCTGTCTCTTTCTCACATTATAATGTGAGAGGATATGTCAATGGCATGTTATTTCCCTCTCTACAGGGAGAAATCAGACGCAATCATCTGTGAGCCCCTGGTCTCGCTACCACCAAGTGAGATTGTCCCATGAAGGAGGCATTTGCTGCAAACCTGCACAGAATGGCCAGTCTCTTAAATTTCCTTCCCCTTCTATTGCTCTGCAACTATGCTGGTCTGCATTCCCCTTTGCAGCATTACTAAATGTAACTGTGGCAAGTCTCTCTTTGATATCTTAGCTTTTTCCATTTTGTTTGTGGACCTCACCTGTATTAATATTTGTAAATCTGTGGTTATTTTTGTAACATTCCTCAATAGCTGTGATTGTCCTGTACAATTGTGTGTGTGGAAGAGAGAGGGGGAGGTTGTGTATTTCTGTGTGTGGTATTTTTGCTTTGTGGAGTTAGATTTCTGCCCTGCATGTAATGGTGATTGTGACAGCTGCCTTGCAACATGTGTGGGAGTCGCTTTTCCTTGCCATTCATGGAATGCATTTTTTCCTAGAAACCACAATCCATTTGTAGTCCCCAGCTGCTTTATGGGAGTGATTTAATAATAGAGATATTTTTTTGTTAAATATTTGCTGCATATTAGGAAATAGATGCAGGGATATGTGATTCAGGGTCTGGAATGCACTTTCGATACTTGGCACTGTTCCCGTACTTTGCCTTAATGGGAACACTCCCAAAGAAATCTGAAGATTATTTGCCTGCACAATGTGCTTTATTGTTTGCTAGAAATGTTTCAGTTTTGTCCCTGGCTGTCCTGGAAACCTTTTCATGAGGTTCCCATACCCTAGTGCTTGCATTTTCCCATAATTGCAATCTTGTTGGTGTATGTTTTGTAAAATGATAATAGTAATAATAATCTTGGTAAATGCTACATTTGTGAATTTTCAATAATCCACCCCCTGATAAACTTGATTCACTTTGCTGGAGGGAAAGGGAAGGCAACAGGGTGGGTCTCCTCGGTTCAAGGATTGTGAAATGCAGCCAGGTTTTGATGAATGACTGAATATTTTAAATTGGAAATTTGTTCCATTATTTTTAAACGGCTTGCTTAGTAAAGGAATAAGAGTGTGGGGCAGTGATGAGGAAAAATGAGAGCATGAGACTTCTGCTCAGACCAGCCACATAAAGTAAGGATGGGCAAGCTGCAGTCCATCAGATGTTACTGGATTTCAGCTCCTATAACCCCCTGGTCCTGCTGGCTCTGAGACTGATGGGAGTTGGAGTGGGGGGGACACACAGGTTTTGTTTGCCTCCAGACTGTCAGTATTTTGCAGGAGGGCTTCAAGCTCATACTAAAGTTAGGTTTGCACTATTAAAGTGGATTAAAGTTGCCCTGGTGCAACAAATCCACTTAAAAACAACAACCAACCCCACAGACTTTCTGTGGTTAGAATAATGACAGTGGATGTATCCTGGTTTCTGCTTCCTGATACACATTCAAGATGCATAGACGTGCTTTCATCCACTGCACCTGCTTTTTACAGTTTTAAGCACTTGGAAAAAGACAGAACCACTAAGAGAGTGATGAAACTCTCCTAGAAAGAAAGAATTAGTGGACTGCATACTTGAATGATGGTCACTTTCAGAGTAAGCCCTCAGAATAAATTATATTCTCCAAATACACAAGCCTATAATTACATAGCAGACTTCTAAAACATACAATTCCTGTTATGGTAGATCTACACAAAAGCCCTTTAGAGCCCTGGGACAGCCCACAGTAATTTTAGCCTAAGAGGCAAAGGTAGGATTGCCATATTTCAAAAAACTGGCACAAAATCGTTGAAATCTCATAACAAAAAAAGTTAAAATTTCTTTAAAAGCTACACTTCCAATATGCCTACAGATTTTCCAAGACATTTCTGTCCAGACACAGTTTCAAACAGCCAAATCACGGCTGTGTCAGGGAAATTCTGGACATATGGCAACCGCAGGCATAGGTGAGGAGTTTGATATCTTACATTTTGATGTATACTGTTAACTTTTAAACCACCACACTTTAAGGAATTCCCCAGTAAAGGTACTAGACTGTATCTTGATAGCTTTTGCAGGGAGATCCTCACGAACTGCCACCTTACAGTTTACCCAGTCACGGATATGCTTAGTATGGAACCCATTACCATACTTATTATTAGTTGTATTTATTAAATTTGTTAGTCACTTTATCTTGCCCAAAGCAACTTATAAACAAACAGACAATAAACTCCACATAGATACATTAATACAAAGAGTGATGGGAATACATTAAAAACATTTCTAAAAGGCCACAGATGGTAAAAGGCCAATAGCCTAGTTATAGAGAAACGTTTTTGCTTCTCACCAAAAGATAAATAATGATGGCACCAGGCAAGCCTCCCAGGGGAGAGCATTCCACCATTGGGGAGCCACTGCAGAAAAGGCTCATTCTCATGTTGCCACCCTCTGGGCCACTTGTGTACATGAAGAAAGACCTCAGATGATGAGTGCAGGGTTCGGGTCAGTTCATATCGGGGAAGGTGGTCCTTGAGGTATTGCTGTCCTGAGCCATTTAAGGCTTTATAGGTCCAAACCAGCACTTTGAATTGGGTAGCTGGATGTAATGCTGTCATCACAGTTTTGCATGCTTAATTCCAAATTAATTAAGCCCTGTATAACTTATCTAGGTTTTGCTTTCAGAGGCAAACATGCATTAGCCTGCTTATCTTAGGCTAATGAACATATAAAGGAAGTAAAAGAGTGTGGGGAACACATACTCTTTGGGAATCTGAGCCAAGACACCCACACTTGCACAATTTTTTACCCCTAGTGCTATACATTCAGTTGCTGTTGTCTGTAGCTGAGTGGCCTTAAATTATTCTTTTTACTGGTAGCTCATCATACAAAGCCAGTTTTCATGTAGACGTTACAAATGGAAAGGTAACTAGTTGCTAGTACTGAAACACCATGTTCAGAACGGACAGGTAGGGGGTTTGTGAATGGCATTCTATCGTCATGTAAGACAAAGCTGTAGCAAAACCAATATAAGCATGCATTGTGATTTTTCTGTTTTTTCCTGAGCAGTTATCTCAACACTAATGCAAGCTGAGCAGGCACAGAAGTAGTTTGTGCACAGACACACAAAAGATACCCAGACTATAGTTTCAACTAACTCCCAACTTTGAGAGATGACCTCAAAAAATGATCATGTAGTTTAACATCTTATCCAGGACTTTATTCTGTATTACCCTTACAGAACAACCCCAACCCTGGGTCATCCAGGCCTGGGGGCATTCAGAGTGTCAGAGCCACCGCTGCATTCAAAGCCACATCAGCTCCTACCAGTCAGGACAGGGGAGAGATCGACTTTTTTTAAAAGGAGCACCACCAGCACAAGCCTGCACCTTTGGCGGGCACAGTGAGGTCTTATGTGGTGGTGGAGCCTCCCCACCAACACCAGAGCCTGATGGAGGAACACCTCTGGCATCCTAATCATCTCTAGTTCTATGGATCAGGGGTTAGAATTGCTCCCTTAATCTAGAAGTTCATATGCTAGACTTCAGCAGTCTGCAACATAGGACCCAAGATTAATTCTTTTAAAAATCCTATGTGATATTTTGTTGTAGTAAGGCCGCATAAATGTGCAGGCAACCAGTGAAACACTCACAGCCACTTTGCTCTTCCCCAGTCTTTTGAATGCGGCTCATGGCTAAAGCACATGGTTAGTGGGATGAGAGCTTAACCACTAGAAAATCAGGGCTGTAGAAGATAGTAGAGACAATTTTATGACCAGGCTGGTTAAGCTGGGTTCTCCATCAGTCTGCACACCCAAGCCAAAACACATTAGACTTCAATTAGTTCATTTCAGCAAATTCATTTCCTAGCATGTTTGGACATCTCTTTTTTCCCTGTAATCTCTTTCTCAGAGCTCTCTGATGGTTCTTTAAACCTTTATTGGAAGTATGGAATTAGGAGTAAGTTTGATTGATTTATTCTTCATTTGATAATTTGTGGTCAGCATTTTCAGAGATGAATCACCGTCCTGTGTTTCTTAGGACAAATGAATGTGTTTCAAGTTAGAGGGCAATGTGCCTTGTTTTCCTTGGCTCTCTAATGGTGAACTTGAAATAATAGTGAAATCATAATATTATGTGTTTATTTATATGTGCACTGTAAGCAATTTGACTTTTACCAAAGCTGCAATAATGCACAAACTTAAATAATGAGCTCCTGTATGTGTAAATATGAATGTTTTGCATATGGTCAAAGGTAACTTTATAAAGATGGCATCAGAGCACTGTAGAGGTCTCTCTCAGCGCGCGCACGCGCGCACACACACACACACACACACACGTGTAATTCATTTTGCCCATCTGTTTCTTTTATAAACCTCAAAATTTTCCAAGTGCCAGAACAAGGATGTTATCATATACAAGATGACTTTTTGCTGCAACAACTTTGTTATACATTCAGTGGAATTTTTTTTAATTGTATAATTGAAGGCTAATGCATATAGAACTGTTTTGCTGTGCAATTTATGGTTTTGACACATGTATGCTACCTTACATAGGCAGGAGCAACGGGATAATCAAGGATGCATTGCTTATGCTGGCTCAAATGCAGGAGGGCTCTATTATTACTGTATTGCCCCATCATTCCAGATTATCAACTAAGCAGGGACATACAAATGAGACCATTATTACACTCCATGGGAATCCAAATACTAATACTGTTAATTGTGGCTTAAATTAAGACCAAGGCCTAGAACCACTATTAAGTTGCATTGCCCAGGAAACAACTCTAATTTAGAGATGCACCATGGCATTATGTGGTGGTGCATTTGTAACTATAGCCATATTTATGTTCATGTTGCTGTCGTGTGAATGAAAGCACTCAGGTAGATAATTATATTTTTCATCCTATATAATTGTAAGTTAAAATACTGCACAGTGTTTCATTTCTCTGCATAATAGTTTCATTTAAGCAAAAATTTACTGCCTAATTACCTATGAGAGATTTATTAGATCTCAATCATGTCTGCTCTGTATGCATATCTTCTTGCTTTATTTCATTTACGGTAATTTGCGGGTGTGTATATGTGCAATTATGCTGTGTGAATGTATACTTCTAAAAAGCATCAAACTGCCAGTTATTAACTTTCTGTGCAGAAATAAGTAGAAGTCATAAAACCAGCAGGTTTTTTCCCCATAAAGGTTGGCAGTTTTAGACTGGAAGCCTGAATATCAATATTGTAATGAGACATCTTAAATAATTGTATTAGCATTGTGAACTTTCTTGTGGACCAGGTAAATAAAATTTCACCCACTGCAAACCACCATGCTGCAATGCTTTTCTCTCTCATTACTTTGTGCTGGCACTCTTTTTCAAAATCAGTAACAATTTGTAAAGCTGGAGGCAGAAATGCACTTTCTCAATTGTGTGGAGCTCAGGCAGATGTAAAGGGTAAGTGGCTGCTTTGCACATCGCGGCTGGAATCCAAACACTCACATCCATGTGCAGGTGGAAAGCACTTGTATGGGGAAGGACCAGCCGGTGGTGGGGCTCCAGACTTTAGAAGAGCTTCTTGGGAGAGCATTGTAAGGGGGAACTTGAAATCACCATGCTTTTTTGGAAGGTTGACCTCTGAACTTTGGGTCCCACTCTACATCTCATACATACCTATATAAATGTGACAGATACGTTTGCAGATGTTGCACAATCATCAGTGGGCTATGATTGGCCACAGCCACTTTCAGTTTTCAGACTGAAACCTAGCATCTCCTAACCCTAGACAGGTCTTTGAGGATTTAAAAGAGGTGTATGAAAGGCAAAAAAATATATTCTGATGTGAACCATACCCTAAAGCAGCCTTCCCCTAGCTTAGTGTCTTCCAGATGTTTTGCGCCACAATTCCCACTAGTCCCAGCACAGGGTTGGAGAAGGCTGCCCTAGAAATAAAAGTGCTTTTTGGTGTCAAGGCCTGAAATACAAAATAAGGTTTAAGGAACTCTTGAATCAAGCATTGCTTGTTTTTATTCCTGTGTTCATTTCATCAATGTTCATTAAAAAAAATGTGCCAGTGACAGGTCGCTTAAGCTCAACTTTGTGAGTATTTGCAAGTATTTACATTTAATAATCATATATGACCAACTATGAGTGCATGAAATACATATTATAAAGAACGAATTTGCAGATGAAGTTATTGGACACCTCCACAAAAGTTGTCTTTGAGCAAGTTTTACTCAAAAGTAAATCCATCTGAGTTGAGTGGGGATCTCTCATAAATGTGCTATGGACTGCAGCTTTAATTGGTTTGAATGCACTTCAAAATGCAAAATTAACAAATGTGATGAGCAATGCAAAATTATTTTTTGAGCATGTGTGGAATTCATTGCGGTCAGACTTGTTATACTCATTTGAATTCCATATGAACCCTGATTAAAATTATTATATGGAAAGATAATAACACGGGATATAGCTGTGACAAGGACAAACAGTGGACTTCCCTGATTATGTAATAGTCAAAGAGAAAAAAGCTTTGTAGAATTCATTTGCAATATTTCTGCAGATCAGTGTGTTTCAAGCCAAATTGATGATTGCAAATGGATTTGTGTGCCTTTTTAAATAATAGATCTGTTGTTTTTTAAAAAATCATAGTTCGGAAAACCACAAGTTAAAGTTTTTTTAATGTATAAATACCAATTAGCCATTTTTGGGAGGAAATAAAGGCATGTGTTACAAGTTAAAGATGGTCAAGGGCTGAGTTAGGCTAGAGTAGCATAACAAACATGCCTACAGATGCTGAGAGAAGGGTGGTGCTATGAACTTGGCAGCTAGATGAGTATATCGAATGAGGTTTTGAAGGTGGAGATGCCATGAAAACTTAATCATTCTAGAAGCAGAGCACAATTTTGTACTATTTGTGAAACATTACTTTAATTCCAGTGATCTTATGTGGTCCAACATCATGCATTTAACTGAATGATCTTACAGTTAATTAAAAAGTGAACAGCAATATTGAGAATGGCAATGTGGAATTCCTTTAGGATCTAAATGTTCATAGTTTTGACTTTTGCATTTGGTTTCTCCTTTCCAGAGAACAGCTGGCATAGCACTGTAGAAGCATTCCGCTTGTGTGATGGGAAATCGTCACGGAGGCCTCAGAAAATAAGCCACCTGGGACTGCAACCCCTTGCACTTGATCAACATCCTGAGTGTTAAATGTAGCTGTTGTCTCAGGAGACTAAAGCATGGTGGACTAGCTAGTTTTCTGGACCAATGACAAGTTCTCTTAATATCTCTAAAAATTGTAGTGCTGAAAATCTGCTTTGTGAAAAATACCGCGCTACTCAACTTCTAAATCAGGCATAGGCAAACTCGGCCCTCCAGATGTTTTGGGACTACAACTCCCATCATCCCTAGCTAACAGGACCAGTGGTCAGGGGTGGTGGGAATTGTAGTCCCAAAACATCTGGAGGGCCGAGTTTGGTTATGTCTAATCTAAATACTAGAGCAGGTACGGGGAACCTTTGGCTTTCCAGATGTTGCTGAACTCCCATCATCCTGATCATTGGCCATGCTTACCAGGGGCTAAGGGGAGTTGTAGTTCAGGAATGTCTGGAGAGCCAGATATTCACCATACCTGCTCTAGAGCAAACTCATTTTGAACCTCTCAAGCTCTGGTGATGCACTTTTAGATCTTCGAGAAATCATGTATCTTTAAGACATATTTGCCATTCAAATTTAAATCACTTTCAAATCTGTTTAAATCACCCAGTTCCTGACAAGGTAGCTCTGGGAAATGTAGTTCATGATGGCCACTATGAGCACAGGATGTTGGACTAGATGGGCCTTTGGCCTGATCCAGGAAGCTGTTCTTATGTGTTATGTTTCTTGTCTGCTATCATCACAACCACAACCTGTGTTTTGTCTGCCCAATCTAAATTGCATTGTTAATACTTAGGAAGATTATTCCTTGTAGAAGAGATCCTGAGAGGAGTCTTCTGCCTACATATGAGGCATGAAGACATGATGAATTTTCTTAAATATGTGACATTGAAACACTGACAGTACTGCCACAAAGTCCAAGCAAAATCTAGTTGTTTTTCTCATTTGGTTCTGTGGGAACTCTGAAATGTTTCTGGAGCTTTTTTTCATAGACATTCAATCATGGGGAGATATGATATCTTAGCTTTTCAGTGCCCATTCCTAAAACAGCTTAATGAAATTGCTAGCATTAAGGTTTCCAAGAGCAAAGGCAAGATTCATTTGGCTATGGAAGATCCATTTTCATGGCTTGGATTTATAGAAATAACAAGAGATAACAGACTCTAGAAGGACACTTTCTTGCTAACCATCTTGAAACATCTGTCTTTCACTCTTGGTAGACATACTACTAAAGATGGGCCATTGGCTTGAGAAAGTCAGGCAATTCTTATTAAATACTAATAATTTATTTTAATGTATAACCATTTGAAAATATGCTATGGGTATACTAATTTCACAGTGTTTCAGGTTTACCTATGGGAAATATTAGTTATATGCAATGGCGTCCATCAATGTTGATAAAATGCTCTTTGATCTAATGGAGGTTTCCATCAAGAGAATGGGGAGGAAGGTGGTATTTTTTGCCGATTCTCCTTCTCTCCTGCAATCCCAATGCTATTCCAAGGAGTCCCCCAACCTTCTGTAGCAGATTTTGAGGGTCAGATCAAAGAAAATACTTAATGCAACTCACTGTTGAACTGGAACTTACTCCCACAGGAGGCAGGGATGCCCACCAACTTGGATGGCTTTAGAAGAGGATTGGGCAAATTCATGGGGAGGAGATCAACGACTACTAGGCACAATGGCATTTTCCATCTGCACTGTCAGATGCAGTATGCCTCTAAATGTCAGCTGCTGGAAATGGCGAGTGAGCAGATTGCTGTTCTGCTTGTGTTCTGCCTGCCTTCAGGCATCTGCTTGGCCACTGTGAGAACAGGACACTGGAGTAGATGGGCTAGTGGCCTGATGCAGCAGGCTTTTCTTAAGTTCTTAAGGCAAGCCATGGCATAGCTACAGAATGGCCAGGGAGGAGCAAAGTCAGTGGCCACCGTCTCTCTCAGAGCCCACACATTCATACCCAGGCATAGTTTGGCATAGCGTAATTTGCAGGGCAGGGCATTGTAGGTTCAGAAGTTCATTCAGGCATTATTGTATGTCTTTTTTGTGAATCCTGAACAGAATGGAGAGAAATCTATATGCAGTGAGTCTGAGCTTTCCAAACTGTGTGTCACGACACATTGGCGTGCCAGCGTGTCGCGCTTCTCTCGGGGCTGGAAAGGGGTTAGTTCAACCTCCGGTTTGCTACTGTGTCACAAAATGATGCATGTCTAAAAAGTGTGTCACCAACATGAAAAGTTTGGAAAGCTCTGTGTTACATAATGGATTAATATCATATTTTTTATTTCTGCTAATTGAGCCCACTAAAAAGGGTTTAGTGTACTCATTCCTATTATTAATATTATTAATTTATTTATGCTCTGCCTTTTTTCCTGGCGGGTCTCAAGGTGGCTTACAGATAAAAATAAGAATTGCCTTTCCTATTCTTATCCTTGTTTACTCAGAAGTACCCTATTCAATAGGAGTTATTCCCAGGTAGGTATGCATAGGATTGCAGACTTACTGTTACTCTGGATGTTTATAAAGAAAATATATAGGGGACAGTCCCACAAAATTAAGCAATTTCCATAGAATATATTTAAGCATACCATAACCACATTCCAATGTGATGCTACCAAAGTACACAATCCTGCTTACAATTAGAATAAATATGTTGCCATAGAATTAATATACTACCTATTGCCTCTACGCACAATATATTGTTGTATCTTTTGCACAGTTTTATGAGGGAATGTTTTTGATAATGACTCCCTGCTTGCATCAAAAGGTAAATAATAAATATGTTTTTAATGCCAGGACATATGAATGTGACTGCTTATTAATGAGCAGTTTGATCTTCATTGACTAAAATCACTGCTGTAATATAATAATCTTCTTAATGCTGGGGGTTGTTTTTGCCACAAACAGCCTGCGTTGACCAAGATGCTTTCTGGTCAGGGATATCTGAAATTTCCTTTTGTATATCTAAAACTAGTGTTGTGAATAATGTGCTGTTGCCTTAGATTCAGAATGCAAATATGTGTTTTAAAAGCACAGCCATTAGTAGGTAATCATTCAAGTGCAATCCTATGCTGATTTTGGTTCATTACAATGGTACCCATGCTCAGTGCCTCAATAAGAAAACAAATCATTATGACATCTGATAATCATTCAGAAGATACATACTGCAGACCCTCCAAGTGTCCGTATTTTCCAGGGACAGTTCCAGATTTACAGAGGCCGTCCCAGTTTCTGATTTGATCCTGGAATGTCCCGCTTTTCCTTAGAACATCTCTATTTTCATCGAAGAAATGTTGGAGGGTATGGACAAGCAGATAAGTAACTATGCAAGCTTTAGAAGACATCTGAAGGCAGCCTTGTATAGGGAGGTTTGTTACTATTTTATTATATTTTGATATATGTTGGAAGCCACCCAGCATGGCTGGGGAAACCCAGTCAGATGAGGGGGTATAAACAATAAAATTATTATCATGGAATAGGGTGTCCCTATAGGGAGCCAGTGTAGTGTAGTGGTTAAGAGCGGTAGTCTTGTAATCTGGGGAACCGGGTTCGCGTCTCCGCTCCTCCACATGCAGCTGCTGGGTGACCTTGGGCCAGTCACACTTCTCTGAAGTCTCTCAGCCCCACTCACCTCACAGAGTGTTTGTTGTGGGGGAGGAAGGGAAAGGAGAATGTTAGCCGCTTTGAGACTCCTTCGGGTAGTGATAAAGCGGGATATCAAATCCAAACTCCTCCTCCTCTTCTTCTTCTTCTTCTTCTTCTTCTTCTTCTTCTTCTTTCATTGGAGAAATATTGGAGGGTATGATACTGTCACCCCATTGCATGACTTACCAAAGCTGTTGTCTTTGTGCCCTTAACGGTACAACTAGGCTCTAGTCTAGTACACATGCTCACAAAAGCATCCCGTTTTATCTTAGTTAAACAGTAGCTTCTAAGATAGGTTGGATAATGAGCATGGCTCAGTCAGAGAACTTGGCACCACCCCAGGCTTCTTGACTGATTCACTTTTCCAGATAGAGAAGGTTCTTTTCTGTCAGAAGAGACCAGTTGACTGAGCACATGGAAAGCTTAACTCTTCCAGTGCAGGAATAGATCCTTCCTTTCAGGGAGGAGCCCAGTTATCATCTAGTAGAGTCTCCGGTTATCTAGCAGCTCCGGCCAGCTTTAAAGTGGGCCTACTACTACTACTACTACTACTATAATACTACTACTATTTATTATAATAATAAATTTATTATTTATACCCCATCTATCTGGCCTGGGTTTCCCCGGCCACTCTGGGCATCTCCCAACAGAATATAATAAAACAATAAAACATCAAACATTAAAAACTTCCCTAAACAGAACTGCCTTCAGATGTCTTCTAAATGTCAGATAGTTGTTTATTTCCTTGACATCTGATGGGAGGGCATTCCACAGGACAGCTTTATATGCGAGAATTCAATGCAATGGGGCTTACTGCCTTCAGCTTGGACTGTTTTAATGTCACTGAGTAGGCAATGCAATCCAAATTCAGGTTTGTAACTGAAATGTTCAGTTTCATCTTCAGACAGATCACCATTGGCTACAACAGAATATAAAGCATTTGATCGCACAATTACACACTGGAATAAATGTAACAGTTTGAGTGTTAGGAGTTTGCCACACAGCATTCCATAGATTGCACACCAAATATTATACAATATACTAGTTCCAAACAGACATGAAAGCACAGATGTTGGAGCTGTAGTATATGGGAATGACAAAGAATAGAAAGTAATTGTCAATGGCACAAAGTAAGTGAGGAGTTGGTTATACATACCACAGTTTTGTCCATATTAGATTAGTAGCTAAATGTGACTTATCTTCTCTTTTTATTACCCAAAGCTCTGCACATAGCAATAATTTTAAAAATGAAATATGATTGAACTATATGCTTTATGAAAGAGTAATTATTGCACTGTTATGCACTTTAGTAAGTAAATAGAAGCATGCCTTGTCTTTGCATGTTCCTATTAGTAGAACATAGATCTGTTTTGTTTTTTAAATACATCTTCAGTTAAGCAGGTCAGGATTAGTTCAGACCCTGAAAAAGGACATGCATGTGTGTGTGAAATAGGTTAAACTGGTAGGTTTAAGTGAAGAACTGGCAAACAACACATTTGCCTTCAAATTCTTTATTTGAGGGGGAAATGCCTAGAATTTCTTTCATGTTGCTGTCCAGGTTAAATAGTACAATGCTGAAATCTCATGTTCCAAGGTATTTGCACAATGTTTTTTGATTTGTGAAATATAATAAAAGCATTCCACTAATGTAACCTTGTTTCTCCCTGTTACTTTCCTGCAATTGTTTATCAAACTGATCTGTTAGAAGGATTCAAGAGCTGCTGCTTTGTTTACCTTCCATGCCATGCCTCTCCAAACTTGCTCAAATGGGAACACAGGTAGTGGCAGCAGCTGTGAAGCACTGCTTAAATGCTGACAGCAGCTCCATGAAAAGCAGAATGCTGAAGGGAAAGTAGCAGGAAACTAATAAGTGAAAGGGAACAGAGGATGAAGGAATCAAAAGAAGAAAAATTTAACAGAAGGAGGGAAAATGAAAGTGAAGGTAGGAGAAAAACCAGATTGACTGCAAGCAGAACTAGAGGGAAGAGCAATTCTGGATAGTTAAGCCCTGTGGGTGAGCCAGAAAGAGGCATTATAGGATAGTGTAGGTGGGTGAAAGGAACTACACTACTGGAAAGGCATTGTGACGGGTCTAAGTAGTATGTAACTACACTGCAGAATATTAGACAGAAAAGGGGTCCTGTGATGAAAAGATGTCCAAGCCCCAGGGCCGGATTTAGGTTTGATGAGGCCCTAAGCTATGGAAGGTAATGAGGCCCTTTATATGTCCAGCTGTCTTTTGTCAACAACAAATTGTCGTTTTTTTGAGTGTGTTGAATATATGCTATATGGTAATTTATGGACCTAATAGGTATCTAAAACCATTTTTTATTTGTGCATAACAATTGGGGGCCTGCACAACACAAAACACTGTTGCTGCATGTAGGTTTTATTTTATTGTTTTTATCTCATATTTTGGAAATGTACATCCAGGTTTTTTTCCCTTAAATTTTTTTGGGGCCCCCCAAGAGAGTGGGGCCCTAAGCTATAGCTTGCTTAGCTTATACGTAAGTCCGGCACTGCCAAGCCCTAGTATTGTGTATGGAACTAAGCATAGGTCCTGGGTGCCCGAGCATCCACAAAATTCCCCAAAATTCACCCACAAATTTTGGCGCCAGGGCCATTCATGCTGCATGGCCCCCACGGCCCCTGGCACCCAAGGTTGCCAGGCCATGTTGGTACTCCTGCAACTATGGCTGCCATTCCATGTTCGCCTACTGTAGAACGAATTCAGAGGAGCTGAGCATCGCATTCCCTGAGCACATCCAGGACGGCAGAGCGCAAGGCAAGTTGGTTGTTGCAACTGCTAGGAGAGCTCCTGTGAGCAACTTGCTCTGACGAGGGCTAGAAGTTTAAGTGGAGAACCGTCGGTCAGCGCTGCTCCTCCCCACACCACCCGCGGGTGAACGCGTCCCAGCGGGGGCTCCCACGCGCAGATCTCGCGATCTCCTCCCCCGCGCGATACCGAGCGCGCCACGCGGCTCTTCTCCCCGCGTTTCCCACCCGCCAATCCCGAACGCGCGCCTTTGCCGCCGCCTCCAACCGGCATGCGCGCGGCTCTGGGCCGTAAGGCCGGGAACCGATAACGACGGAGACGGCTCCCTCTCTTCGCCCTCCTCCTGGAGTACCTTACCTGAAACCACGCTAGTGCTCACGCCCCTTGGCTGAAAAAAGCGCCGCCGCTCCCTTCCCCTCGAGTTGCTTCCCGGGCCCGCCACGTCGCGTTGCCTTTCCGTTGTGGTGCTTTCTGTTTTTCTGACTCTGGGTTCTCCTTGTTGTGCTGCTGCGATGGCGCCTCTTACAAGTTACTCCAGCGGGCCTTTGTTGTTGGCGTCGCCGCCGCTGCTGCTGTTTCTCTCGTTTTCCAGAGTTCGAGGTGGGGTGGGGTGTGAGGTAGGGTGAGGGGGTTCAATGCATTTCGGTAGTACCCCGCCTTGTTCAGACTGTTGGCATATCTGCTAGATGAGCTGCCGGCCTCTTGTGTTGTTTTGGAAAGCTAAGCGCAAGAAGGCCACTTTCTGTGTATGGACTGAGAGGCCAGTTACTTCAAAACCTGTAAATTTAGGGCATTAAATTTCGCTAAAGGTTAAGGGTGTCCTTTTCTTGTTGCCTTCAAAACTTCCTAAAACAGGAAACTGTCAAACGCTGAGGGTAAATGTGGTTGTTGCATATAACCTATCTTCAGATAAGAGGATTATACTTTAATTCTTGAAAAACTGAAGGTCATGGTATGGCAATAATCAATAGTTGTTGGGACCAACCAAAAGGTTACCGGCAAGGTTTCAAATGAGCTAGGATATTTGTTGGGGATGTGCCATGAATGCAACCCAGATTGGAGGAAGACAACATGGACTTTGTATGAATCTGCAAAATTATTTATTAGTTTCATCTACTCAAGATCCCTCAAGAATACAACACATTCACACAGGCTCTGCAGGGATATAATTATAAAAGGTAGTTGCTCTAACTAGATGGCCAGTCTGCTCACACCAAGGAATGGAGAGAGCTGGCCAATGATGGAAGATTCACATTGCTCCTTGGCCTTCTTAGCTTTTTGCCCCCAAATGGCCCAATGATTTTTATACTTTAAGAATATTGCCTCTTGGTAACATGCCATATTGGTTCATCTTCCAGCCTTACTTTAAGTAAATAGACATAACTGTCCTAAAATATGGTATTATTCCAAGGAAAGTTCGGCAGTGTCATCTTTCTGGGAATGCTCCTTAATCTGCTATTTTAAGTCCTGTTTATTTAAAATAGCCACCATTAATTGGACCTGTTCCCTCTTTGCATCCTTTGCACAGAGCTCCCTCTGTCTCCTGTTAGTCATTAGATGGTGGTAGCAGGTGTGCCACCCGTATGGTTCTCACAAGTCTGTTTAGATGAAAAGGCAACCACTTGCGGTATTTTCCATGTGAGTAGCAGGTGGTAAATAAGACTTCCATCTGAACCTCACTTACCTACAAGCAAGCCCCTTAAAATTCGAGAGAGCTTACATCTGAAGAGACATAGTTATGATTACTCTATAAGTCTTAATGGTGCCAGTCGTCTTCCAGCTGTCCTCTGCACATGAACTCCCAGAATCGATTGGAACATGGTCCTATAGATCCCAGTAGAGGAAAATGTCATAAAGATTTATGAATTATCCAGAGTTCTGCACTACAATGAACCTTGTTTTCTCTCCCATAGCTTCAGAACTTCCTCTGAATTTTTATTTCCAGGTGATTGCTCCTATCTGCATGTAACCAATGCTAGCCTAAGGACTGGGAGTCCAAGAGACAGCTATCCTACTGGGACTGTTTTGCAGTACCGTTGTATCCCAGGTTATGAGCCTATTCCTGGAGAGACTCTTTCTATTACATGTCTTGCCGATTCAAAATGGTCAGTAGAAAATCCTAGGTTTTGTCAAGGTAAGTTTCACTTAATTTTCAGAATATCTGAAACTGTTGAACAGCCACCTTAGATCAGACCAGTTATATCAGTAACTTGCTTATGAACTGGAGGAGGTCCAAACATTGCAGAAAGTTAGGAAATAATAAAGGAGGCTTTTCTTTTGTAGAACATTGGAGACTTAAATCAGGGAAATGGAATATTCTGAGCATCACTCCTCCTAATGATGAACTCAAGTGGTGAATGCCCTTGGGTCTGTAGATACAAGGTGCTTCTAAGAAACAAGAAAGAGCAATAGCATGTTTGAATGAACCCCAAAGTTTGCAGAAGTACCAGATATTTAAAAGGGAACTAAGGGGGCAAAAACAGCCCAGTGAAGCTTCGCTGCCTTAAACCTTAGGCAGGAGGTCTTGCTGCACCCCCACACACAGGCATGACGTGGCAGCTCCCATAACCTCTTGGGCAAGAGTGGCGTCCAGCACACTTCCCTGTGCCTCTGAGCCTTCAGACTTCTTCCTGGCTCCAAGCAGAGTATCGCAGCAGTGGTGTGTGCCTTGTGTAGGTGCAATAAATCACAGTACATACGCAAGCTTCTTTCTAATCTTAAGAGGCTTTAATGAACAGCATAGCTGGGAGATCGAGCAGCCATCCTCCCGGTTCATCAGCCAAGCCACACCTTAGTAGGCTAGAGTCTAGACAATACACAGAACTGTTTAACCCTGTAAGTTCTGATTCTCCTCACAGAGCATAGCTGATGGACTGTCCTTCCTGGGAGGTTTTTAAGCAGAGGTTGGATGGCCATCTGTCATGTATGATATAGTTGAGATTCCTGCATTTTAGGGTGTTAGACTTGATGACCCTTAAGTCACACTATACACTATAATATTGTGAAGGTGAGAGGTACCAACACTGTCACCTCTTCTCCAAAAGTAGGTGAGGAGGATGTATTGGAGGTTCTCACCTTAAATAATGACTAGAAGCTGCCCCCGCCTGATTTTCTCCACTATGGCAGATGAACAGTATGCTTACAAAACTACTGTACTTAAAAGTATAACTGTCTTAAAATTATTTGAACAAATATACCTTTGTTTTACCTATTGTCATAAATACAGGGGTGTGGGAGTACTATTACAACTTTATAGTAAACAAAATAGAGTTTTTAATGATCTCAGATGGCAACTTTTTGATACTGGATAGTGTCAGCAGCAACAGTCCAAAAACTTTGAACATCTATATGCCAGAGGCAACAAAGAAATAAGTGTACATAAAGCAAGAAATGGTCTCTCAACTGCTTTCAACTCATGAAGGAAAAAAGAAAGAACGCTTAACGTCCTGCATCCATCCCTAAAGATCACATTATTGTGAACCACCAGTAAAACTGGATATTGAATTATCCTTTAATGAATATAGTATTTCCAAGGACACTTTCAGACTGTCTCTATATTGTAGGAGGGATTCAATTAAATACCAACAAATTCAGGTAGCACAGTTGACATGTATTTGGTTCTCTTGTGCACCAAATCTGATTTTAAAAAAATAAAAATTGGACATTTTGCAGTAAAGAATGTGACAGGGAATTGCACTGGAGATACTGAGATAATTTTTTTGATACAATGTCGTATAACCTCTCCCCAAACAAATCAGGATGACTGCTCAAACAGATCATCTGGAAGTGGCCTTGGTGTCTGTAGTGTACCCTTTTTATTTTATTTTTAAAGAAATCAAGGCTGCATGTGCTAATGCTTGTTTTGATTTTCCTGTTAGGAAGGCGATGTCCTACTATAAATTTAGAGAATGGCAGAATAGTAAAATCAAAAGACTTGCGGCTAGGTGATGAAATAACTCTAGGCTGTAATGAGGGGTGAGTTGTAGGTTGTCTTGTACCTACTTTGCTTTGTTTAGAACTCCTGGGAGGGGCTCGTGACAGACATATATTAATTGTTAAAATATTAGGCTAGATTTTTGACATTAATTCTTATCTAGTTGTGTTGTTATTATACTCCAAATAAATTAATAAACACAAATAAGCAGCACCTAAGAACAGGTCTACCATTTCTGGTTGATTTGGTAACTGAGCAACGGCAACCTCTGGCTTCTGAGAAATGTGTATTCAGGTCTTTCATTTGATTATTTCTCAGTGTGTAGAACTGTCTTTCAATGCTGGCATCTGGATGTGTTTCCACTCACTGATGAAATCCCCAGTTCTTTCCCTGGCTCCTTTTACTCCTTGCAGCCCTTAATTAAGTGCACTGCTGCTTCAAGCAAGTTCACAGTTCATTTCTCTAAAAATAAAATAAAATAAATATGCTAGAATAACTATATTAGAGGGTTTTCATATGCCCCTCTAACTTCCCGTTCTCTCCAGCAAAATAGACATAATAATATTTTGCAGAGTTCATGTGATCCACACTTTCTCAACCACAGCTCTGCCCCCTATGATATGGTGTGATAATCATGGATTTTATCTACAATTGTGTTCTACAATCCCTTCTCTCCAGCAAAGTAGACACAATAATATTTTGTGTAATCCACACTCTCTCAGCCAGACACCCTGCGATATGGTGTAATAATAGTGGATTTTGTTTATAATCGCTTTGGGAAAGTAATTTTCTTAATGGCAATAAACTCAAGTGGGGTGGGATGGCATTTTTAATGACATAAGGTCTGTTGAGAAGATCATGAATTCCTGCCTTTACTGCTCCCCTTTGTTTTTGAGGTCACACACTACTCCCCATCATAGCTGAATGTCAATCCTGGATTAGATACTTGAATTGTGTTTCAAGTACTTCACCTTGAATTGAGGAAGTCCACTATGATGAAATTTGAAAGCCTAGGTTGCTGCTTACAAAGGCACTATGTCCAAGCTACTGGCGTTTTTATGTTGGTATCACTTTTTCTGGGCACTCTTTAACAAAGAGATAATTCCTGTATCTGGAATTAAATTAAATTGCTAGCTTGTCTCAACCTCGACTGAGAGCACCCAGAGAAAGGGCTTTTTCAGTTGCCCTACCTTTAGAATCCTCTCCTCAGGAAGTTTCCCCTGGTCTCATTTTCACATTGTTTTAGCAGCAAGTGAAGACCGCTTTACCAGGTCTCATTCAGTGTTGTTTGAACTGGCTTCAATCCTACTGTTATTATATTCTTGCTGCTGTGTTGTTTGTAACTGCTTTTGAACTGGTGGTGGTTGATTTTAATTTTTTCTGTTTATGTCAACTAGCACAGTGGTGACTCTGTAGAATGGGATATAGTCTAAATAAAGCAAGTGTACTAGATAAGAAATATGCTCTATCTGCACACTTTATGTCCCGTGCATTAAAATACAAGATTTGTCTTTCTCTTTAGGTACAGAATAATAGGCGTAAATACTCTTCAATGTAGGCTTATAAACAACAACGTTAATTGGAATAGAGACCTTCCACTTTGCCAACGTAAGATGAACTAGTTTGAATTTATTAAGTGTGAGCTCAATGTGTTACTGTGTTACTTTGTTTATTGCAAAAGTGTAACCAATATACAGAGTTCAATATATTTTCTGATCATGTACCATATACACACCGTCATGGTTGTTGCCAACTAGCTGACTTCACCTACAGCTTTCCCCAGAGCAGGAAATTGGTGTTCTGAAATAACCCATTTGTTTGCAAAATCACACATAAATGGGAACTGGTGGAATTGGTATTAGATCAAGGAGAAGTCGTGTGCATAAGGAATTGCTGAAGTCATTCAAACCATTGCCATTCCCTACAAATGGATATATTGTTAATCAGGAACCCTAAAGAGCCTGTCCATTAAGCCACTTTTCAATGTTTCTTGGAACAGAAACGATTTCTTCCGTTTAATTTAGCATTTAAGTTTTAGTGGAAGCATCTTTGCTTCATTGTTCTTATTCAGACAAGAGAATCTAAGGGAGTAAAGCAGTGCAAATAGAACATGTGCATTGCACTAATCCCACATTGTGCTCACTGAGCCACTGGTGAAAGGGGTTAGTTTGGGGAGCACCAGAAGGTCATCATCTCTGTGGTTTTTCATATGGGAGCAGGGGAGAGAATCATGTATACCACCTTGAACTCATTGGAGGAAAGGTGAGATAAAAATATAATATGAAATGAAATTAATTAAAAAAGTAAAAATTAATTTGGCTACAGCAGATTCCATAATGCTTCAACATTTTTTACCTATTTTTTTGGGCTCACCTTTTGGCCTGAGTGCTTAACACTTAACAATGGCCTCTGAGGAGCCTGAATTTGAATCATCCATTGGTTGCCCTATATAACTTGTGGGGACTTACATACTCTTGGAATTAGAGTTTCACCTGTGGGTGGATTGGGGAGCAATTGGGTCAGATCCCCCTGAATTACTGGAAACCTCCTGGAACATCATTTGCCTTTTCATCTAAAGCAGTCTCTTCTGGGCCTCTTTACATACCTTTCAAGTGGTTTTCTGCATGCGGAGGTTCTCTCCCCGCTCCCAGTGGTTTTCAGGGGTTCATCCTTTATTACATCATTTAAAAATACTTTTTATTAATTAAAAAAACTATGGAATTCAGCAAATTTATTTGACCTACAAGCAAATATGGTTGATAAAGTGACTTAGGGCATTCACATACTCTCATTGCTTTCCCTTGGTATAATAGGGTCCTTTGTTTTTGTAACCTTTCCTTGTCTGACCATTCTGTCTATGGTATATACAGTTTTAGTCACTTCCTTTCATGCATTCACATACCTGTGGTTTATCTATTTTGGTTTTATGTCATGTATGAATTTGTTCGACAGCGATATGAAATTGTATATGGACTATGTATATTGTCATTAAATCCCATTTGATACCCTGCATTTTGGGGTCAGCCTTTATTATTTTTCTGTGCACAGCTGTGAAGGCAGCCCTGTCTCCATAGGCATGCATGAGGGGAAATAAAGGCTAATAGTAAGGAAGCTGAGGCCACAGCCCCTGCCCCCGAGCATTCCTTGCTCTGAAGGTGGCACTGGGGCTTTGACAGCTCCCTCTGTGAAGCTTCAAGGCTAGCTTGCTTCACAGAAGATCTAGTTTGCTTTTGAGGAGGTTGTAATACCTACACACCTAATACCTAAAGTCCACTTTAGTTCAGTGTTTGGGTGACAGCTAAAATGGATGCTCAGGCCTTGAATTATGAGAAGATTACTTCATAAAGTGGAAGATCTTTTCCATGAAAATAACTTTAGTCCAAATACAATGCTAACAGAGATGCTTTTACAGTTGTCGTCCTACTGAACGGTTAATGTTGCTTTTGATCCCCAGGAATCCCCTGTTTCCCCCCTCCTAAGATTGCCAATGGTCAACACAGTGAGCCAATCGATGGACATTATGACTATGGCACAACAGTGACGTACACTTGTAATGCTTATTACTCACTTATTGGAAGCCGTACTATTACATGTTTAGTGGCTGCAGATGGTATAAACGGAGAGTGGCGTCCAGCTGCACCTGAATGTAAAGGTGATGGAAATTAATGTTTGGTACCTTTCCTGTACTATGTTAATGTCCTTTGTGAACAGTGGCAGGAAAAAGTAAATCCTTCTTGGAATTTGCTAACTTTGCAGTCTGCTAAGCACTGTGCTGCTGCTGTTCACCCTGTGAGGTTTTCAGTGGGATTGCAAGTGATTCAGTGTGGGAGATGCCCACACTCCACTGCCCCCTCAATGAGTTGCTTGTTTTAACCTGAGTCATTTTCAGAGGAGCTTATGGTCTGGTCCAATTAAAATAATCACTATTATGTCCCACTGAGAACAAAGGAACCTAGATTTGGTTGTGAGCTATGTATTTGATTAATTTCATTTGGACTTAATCATTGCCTTTAGGTTGTTTTGCTCAGGGTGCTAGGAAGAATAAAAACAATATAAATATAATGTTTCCTGCAATAAATGGAGGGGTATTAAGTAGTAATTGTTATGCTTTATAGATTTAGATTTGTTTGGCTTTCTACATTCTAAGAGCTATCTGCGCAGGAACTTTGATAATGCCTGTCTCTGAAGTAGTTTATAGACCTGTAGAAATTTAGTTGGATTGAAATTATATATTTTAATCGGCTTAATTAGTTATTTGAAGTCACCAGAAGTGTGTCCACCTATCCATAAAATAAAATAAATAAATAAAATAAATCCCAAACAGGTGTGCTAAGAATTTTACTTCCAAACCACCCCTTAATGGTTCATGCCTAGGTGAAGAAATAACACCTTAAAGCAAAATGCAACCAAGAGAGCTATACAAGCTCAGCATCTGGTAGGGACCCAGTTTATTAGAGGACCCATTGCAGTAGGGAAGCCTCTCTAAACCAGAACCACCAGTTAGGAGAACTGCTTCAAAGGCACATTCTACCAAAGCTTTTACAAGATTTTCCAAACACAATACATTATTAGCCAATAACACTCATACGTAAAGAGAGGTCACAGGTGTTGCTCCTCTATATTATCTTCTTTCATTCATTATCTTGAGTACCCCCATACTCTGGAGCCTCAGGAATCATATTTCATCCACTTATCGTCCATCTTCCATGACAAGCAGACCATTAAAATGTCCTTAACATACCATTCATGTAGCTTTCCATGTTTTGGAAGACTCAAGGTAAGAGCAGTCTATATTCCAAACATCCTAAACATTTGTGCTGATAAACTATGCAAACAATTTTTGAGAAAGAAATATATAGGAAATTTGTAGTTCAGAGGTTCACATAAGGTATCAAGAATACAGGAATTGAACCATTCATTGATACATAGCTTTTACATAGAGAATAAATGCAAAATAAACATACAGTGGTACCTTGGTTCTCAAACTTAATCCGTTCTGGAAGTCTGTTCCAAAACCAAGGCACGCTTTCCCATAGAAAGTAATGCAAAATGGATTAATCCGTTCCAGACTTTTAAAAACAACCCCTAAAACAGCAATTTAACATGAATTTTACTATCTAACGAAACCATTGATCCATAAAATGAAAGCAATAATCAACGTACTGTACTATAAAATAAATAAGGCAGTACAGTGGTACCTCGGGTTACATACGCTTCAGGTTATATACGCTTCAGGTTACAGACTCCCCTAACCCAGAAATAGTGCTTCAGGTTAAGACCTTTGCTTCAGGATGAGAACAGAAATCATGCTCCGGCGGAAGCGGGAGGCCCCATTAGCTAAAGTGGTGCTTCAGGTTAAGAACAGTTTCAAGTTAAGTACGGACCTCCGGAACGAATTAAGTACTTAACCTGAGGTACCACTGTATTGTAGATGATAAAAAAAAAGTTTTTTAAAAAAATTCTTACCTGCACTGATGATAGCCATTGTTTGGATGGGGGGGGGGTATCCATTTCCACAGTCACACAATCAATCAGTAGCTAAACTGGGTTCCACACAATCACAAAAACAAATTAACCGAAAAAGCCACAACAAAAACACAAAATAAATAGCAAAAACAAAAGCGCTTAATTTAATCCATTTTGGAAGTCCATTTGACTTCCAAAATGGTCCATTTGAATTCCAAAATTGTCCATTTGACTTCCAAAATGTTCGAAAACCAAGGCGCAGCTTCTGATTAGTACAGGGGCCCTGGAAACAATAGCTGACAGCCACATCAGACGTTTGGCTTCCGAAAAACGTTCGACAACCAGAACACTTCTGGGTTTTCGGCGTTTGAGAACCAAGGCGTTTGAGAACCAAGGTGTTTGAGAACCAAGGTACCACTGCAATTATAACAAGTGGCTAAAGAAAAAAAATCTATCACCGGCATGGCTAATTATATTCCCTTTTTGCCAGAGTTGGGAGGTTTACAAGTTTAAAGTCCCTGCTGCTTCTTTGGTGGAACATTGGTCTGGTTTGCATAGAACACTAGCCCATGATACAACAAACCACAAGTAAAATTCGAATTTTTCCACAGACAAATAAGCAAACCTTTGTTTTGTTTTCCGGGCGCTCTTCCTTCCTATCTTTGCAGTTTGGCGACTGTCTGAGGTGGGATGGCTAAACAAGCCACAGTTAAGAAAAGGGTGCTAGGTGCACCTGTAATGCAAATCCACAATTTAAATTTTATATGCTAACATCAGACTGTAGTTTATTGGCAATAGTTAAGTCCTTGTGCAAGCTTTAGCAAGCCATAGTTTAAATAACAAGTATATTTCTAAATGCTGTTCTTTTCAGTGGTCGTATGCCGTAGACCTGACATAAGAAATGGAAGAATAACAACTGTGTATAAGCCTGCGTACACCTATGGAGATCGTGTAATATCTGCATGTAATCGTGGATACACTCTGGTGGGGAATGACAGTAGTATATGTGGGGCTAACAATGCCTGGGAACCTCCTATTCCAACATGTGTTAGGCGTAAGTATCTTCCTACACTTAAATGGGTTCCTTGGGAGGAATCACAGGGTATAAATTCAATAAATAAATGTCCATAGAAAACAGGAGATACGTAGCCGCTCCAGCAACATATCTCTATTTCCTCACATCCAGAAATGCAAGAAGGGCTTTTACTCTTGCTAGAAGCTCGGTCTTGCCCTCACCAGCTCTGGAAGGCTTCTATAGAAGAATCCTGTACGCACAGAGACTTTGCGCCTGCCCATTAGGGGAAATAGGAAGCCCTGAACATATATTTTTTTGGATGTCCTTTTTATGTTGAGATCTGTAGAGACACCATTGATCCATTGCTGAAGAGGCTCGCCGATCTTTCAGACAAGTCTAAACTTAATTCTCTCCTCTTAGGCAAAGATCACAAGACAACCTGGCTGGTAGCCAGATTCTGTGCCCAGATTTGTAGGCACAGAACATCCTCTAGAATAAAATAGCTCACTAGGGAAATGCTGAAGTTGCCCTTTGGGTCATTTTTTTTATGGTAGCCCAAATCTCAGTTGTATGGGTGTATGTATATATCTCAATTTTAACTCATGAGTTATTGCTGCAATCTGCTCCGATTGTATATTTTATCTTTATGAACGCTGTTTTTATTGTGTTATGTTACGGGAGCTGGTCTTTGTAATAAAATCTAATCCAATAAATAAATGTCAGAGCTGTTGTGTTGCACTTTAAAGCAGATCATCCTTATTTCTTTGCCCCCTCTCTTTTCTGCTAGAATCCACCACCACTGTTGCCACCACCCGTCCAAGTGGAAGTACCAAAAAAACAACTTCTAGCAGACGTGAGTTAGAAAAATGTGACTTAAATATGAGATATTAAAGTCAGGATTATCTTACTCCATGTATGCTAATAGGATATATAAGATTTCATAATGAAACCTCTTGGTGGCAGCATGGATGGGGCACTGTTGTTTTCCTGACTTTTTGGGTCACAGCCACTTACCAAGATGGGGGAGGAGTGAGGAGAGGGGATCACTGCATCTGGTGGACCTCACTCCTCCTCCTCCAGTAACAGCTCATGGAATTGGTTAGTGATTTCGCCCTTTCACCACCTGCTCCACCTGCCTGGGCCAGTGACTCACTCGTTGTTCCTGTTGGGGCCGCCTGCCACCAGGGGGCAGGAAGACCAAGGGGCAGAAGGAGTTTTCTCCTTCATCCCCACCCCCTGCCATATTGACCCACAAAAGAAAGCCCACAGTTTTGAAGTGCAGTCTTCCTTCTTTTGGTGGTGGCAGCAATGTGGGCATGGCAGTGACTTCTTCCTGGGCCACTTGCTTGCTTTGCTCACTTCACCAGCCTACTCAGACATTTCTCTCTTTTGTTCTGTCCTGTCTTCCGCATCAGTGGTAGCATCAGTAATGGTAATCCTTGACTGCCCACGTGCACTCTGTTACCTGCCCAATGATTGACAAGTACTAGAGGAAAAATGCAGATAAAATGAGATGTTGAAGAAAAGTTGGCCTATAAAAAATTCAAATTTGCAGCCAAGAAGGTCAACTCTCTAATTTCATTAGAACAACAAAGGGAGTTAAACAAGGATGCATTTTGGCCCCCTTTTTGTTCAACATCTATATAAACTCCCTAATAGACCACCTACAAGGAGCGGATACACACGCCCCAAAATTAGCAGACAAAAAACTGCCTATCCTACTCTATGCAGACGATGCGATTATATTGTCCCAGACTCAGATGGGCCTCAAAAGAGCTCTTAACAGCTTATCCCAATATTGTAGAGAAGAGAAACTAGTAGTGAACTACCAAAAAACAAAAATCATGGTTTTCTCTAACAAAAGGAAAATATACAGATGGAATTTAGACAATCAGGAGATTGAACAAGTGACATGCTTTAAATATCTAGGAGTTATATTCCAAGCATCAAGGAAGAAGACTGCCCACATAAATTACAGCTCCTCCACAGCACAAAAAAGTACAACAGCAATCCTAAGATTCCATTGTACAACGGGAGGAAATTTCATTCCTGCTACAATTAAACTATTCGTTGCAAAACCAACAGCACAAATACTATACGGCGCACCACTCGTCTCCCTCTCTAATCTAGACCCATATGAAAAGATACAATCATGTTTCCTTAGATCACTCCTGCAAACACCTAAATGCGTCCCAAATGCCGCCCTACGACTGGAAGCGGGCTTATACAGCATTAAAGCCAAAGTATGGATAAGAACCTTATGCACTTGGCTAAGACTTAACAACTCGCCGGTTGGACTGCTTTCCCTGATGCTTCTTGACAAATTCCAATCTAGTTGGTTGAAGGGCACTCTCAGAAAACTGGCCACATATGGTCTCTCCCCAGAGTATTTATTAAGTTTAGAAAGGGGAAGGGCCAAGAACATAATCAAAGAAAGACTCAGGGACATTGAAGCCCAAAATTACTTTAATCAACTTCCGATAACTTATAAACTTCTATACAATCCCCAAAGGCCCCATCTAGCAAACTATCTCAAAGTTCTAGACAACGCTAAACACCGATGGGCATTTTCCAGGGCCCGCTTTAACTCTCTCCCTTCAGCTCTTCTAGAGGGACGATACAATAAAATACTGATCGAACAAAGATTATGTCCCTGTAACAGCAATGAAATCGAAACCATTGGGCATGTCATCTTATACTGCCCATTATATCGAGACTCAAGAAAAGAGCTGATCGAACCGATTCTGAGGAAAATACCTCGTAGTACAGATGACACCTATATCAGACACCTCTTAGCTGACAAAGAGCCCGAAATTAACAGGTCCGTGGCAAAGTACTGTTACATTGCAACAAGAATAAGACGAGCAATGATGTCAACAACGGAGTTCAAATTGTAAACATCGAAGGAACGATAATAAACAGTAGCGACACTTGAATTGAATTTTAAAACCTTAAAAGTCGAAACCTGGTCATAAATATAAGCACCAATTCTGTGAATTGGCCATATTTCTACTGTTATTTGTAGCACAATTCTACTTTTAATGTCATATTTTTATAAATTGCTTCCTGGTCACTGACCGTATTAAAGATACTTGATTTGATTTGAATTCAAAATATAAGTAACATCAGATTATTATTATTATTATTATAAAAAACTATTTTAACTTTCTAAAGCTGATTCCAGAGACTGAGACCATAGAGGACCTGGTGTCCTGGGACCATATGGCACCCTATACGGACCTTTCTGACTCCTAATTTTGAAAGAACACATAAATGCAGAGCAGTCAGCACTTTAAAGTTGATATAAATCTCTTTACACAGCTCGTCCAACCACTGGAGGTGGTGGTGGAGGAGGAGGAGGAGGAGGAGGAGATGGAGGAGGAGGATATGATGATGATGATGATGGAGGAGGAGAAGGATATGATGATTATGATGATGATGGGAGGAGACGATGGCCTAAACCCAGAAAACGGTAAACAATTGCTTTTCACTGTTATGAGTTGATGTATTTCAATAAGTGGAGAGTGACCAAGGAGTAAGCTTATGGATAGAACCAGAGTGGAGGAAATGGACCCTTGTCAAGAACTGGGGGAGGCGGGGGCTGGTGCTGTGGTGTTTGTTATTGTAATTATCTGTATTTTTAATAGGTCTCTCTCTCTCTCTCTCTCTCACACACACACACACACACAAACACACACACACACAATTTAATTGTTTTTACATGACTTTTTAAAGCTGTTACCATTTTATCTATAAGCTGCCTTGACTCCCTGTCTGGGAAAAAGGCATGATATAAACAAATATAGAAATAACAATTCCCCCCCCCCCTCTTTTGTATAGGACCTACAAACAAACCACTGACAACTCCCCTCTTTTTTTATAGGTCCACAGACAACGCTTCCTCCAGATGATATAGGTACAGCGGAAAGGTGGTAGTGACAGCAGATTTATAAGCTTGTTTTTAGATTCGGTATAACACTTCTAATGAGTGTGGTAGCTTTTTAAAAAACAGGAAATGGTTTTGAGCTGAGAATGGGAAGTTGCCTTCCACCCAAACATTTGGTAGCTTGCTCATTATTGTCAACTCAGACTGGTAGCAAGTCTCCAGGTTTTCAGACAGCGGACATCCTGGGCGCTACCTGGAGATGCTGGGCATTGAACCTGGGACCTTCCATATATAAATATTCATTCTTATGTATTTATCTGTCTTCTGAGTACCCTTCCTCTGCATTGGGGAGGACTCATTCATCTGATCCGCCCCCCTGAGACTTAATGGAATTTGATGGGTTCTTCTGGGGTATTTTGTAGTAGGCAGCCAACAGTCCTCCTGAGACCTTAATCTCACATTGGAATAGGGAGATACAGCGGGCTTTCAACATAATTGCCCCTGTATGCCTTCTCTGGCACTGTTGAGCCCACTTTGCTGCCTGGCTTTCTGCGGTACTTGCAGCAGTGAAGCAGGCTGGATGACAACTAGAGTGCAGGAGATGTAAGGCTCCATATGAAGTTAACCATTCACATGTTGGAGTGTATGGCAGTGAAATCTACAAAGGCTTATTTTCCTGTCTTGTTATTGGCATGTACAGCCCTGAACAACTTGGAACCAGGGAACACCTTACCTTGTATACTGCTGCCTGGACACTTTGACCCTCAGGAGATACACTCTCAGTAGTGCCATGTTCTGCTGAGGTTCATCTTATGTCTAATAAGACCAGGGGCTTTAGTGTGGCAGCACCTGCCCTTTGGATTGCGCTTCAAGTGAACATCAGGCAGCCATCTTGTCATTTAGGCAGCTGCTTAAAGCTTGCCTATTCACTCAGCCTTTCATTGGAAGGTGATTCAGCTGTGTTGCTATATTAACTTTGTCTACAGATTTGTGATACATTTTGTATTTGTTTTATGGGTGTAAGACACTTAAAAATACATTTGTATGCTCAGACTTTTCTGACTAAATATTATTCTACTTAAATTCTATATATATCTCTGACATTGTTTATTGTTTGCTGCTGATTTTATTTTAGTTTGTTTATATTTTAATACCTACTAAAATGTTTAACATGTTTAACATTTTAGTATTGAATTTTATTCTATAAACTGTTTTGGGATGTTTGGAAGGGAAGAGGCTTAAATAAGTAATTAGAATGTGTGTGAATTATTTAAACGTGGGAAACCCATTTCTTGGTTCCAGCGAAATACCTCTAAATTCAGTCTTCCATTGTGTACTGGAGTAGATTATTTCCAGTTATTAGTTGTACTATATTTTATTCAGTGTGTGACACACACAAATGCATACAGACATAGAAAGAGAGAGAGCACACTACGATCTGCCACAATTACATTGCTTCAAATTTTAGCTCACACTTTTATTTACTTCTTTTCTAGAATCTGACAACACCGCAACAATTATTATCGGTAAGCAATTACAGAGCAAGTTACTTCGCTGCTATTGTACTTTCATGCCTTGTAGTAATGTGTGTTTCCTTTACCTTTTACTCCAGTTTTGGTTTAAATGTTGAAGACTCCTACTTGGAGAAGATGTTGATTCTTTTTCAAATATGCTTAGGGTGCAAACTTTTCTCCAAGATCTGCTGTTTATTTATTTATTTGGTGAGGCCAGCTCTGCTTCCTCCACTATCTTTGCTCCTGTAATGTACACAGCTGTCTCTAAATTCAGCCCAGACTTCCCCCATGCTGTGACTTCTAATGTTCTTGCACCTGGGTGTGACTAGGGCTTTTCAAAAATCCTCAGGAGTAAGGGTGTCTTGAGCTCAGGCATGCCAACTCTAGGGGGCCTAGTGTTGAGGTGGCTGTGTGTGTGAGACGCATCGCAGGGCTAATGGCCAGCTCCTTCAGAGTGCTTGGTCTCCTCCGCTGCACGTGCATGACAGGCGATACGTGTGACATCACACACATGCTGGGCCCCCTCAATCTTGGGGGCAACCTGGTGACTCTGCTTCAGCTTCACATACTGCTTGGGTTGGAGAGTTGCTCTTTGATTGTCATTAGGGCCACTAAGTCTGCAGACATCTGTTAGGGGCAGGAAGAACTCGTTGCTGCAATCAATCTCTGAGGACAACGGCACATCTGCCCCAAAAGGGGGTAACTGCAGATGTACAGTGGACTCGCTGCTCAAGGTATATATGTGCCAAGTAACTCATCCACTCGAGTGGCTTTAATGTCCATTGAGCATTACAAGGTAAGAAGAAGAAGAAGAAGAAGAGGAGTTTGGATTTGATATCCCGCCTTTCACTCCCTTTAAGGAGTCTCAATGCGGCTAATATTCTCCTTTCCCTTCCTCTCCCACAACAAACACTTTGTGAGGTGAGTGGGGCTGAGAGAGTTCAAGAAGTGTGACTAGCCCAAGGTCACCCAGCAGCTGCATGTGGAGGAGTGGAGATGCAAACCCGGTTCCCCAGATTACGTGTCTATCGCTCTTAACCACTACACCACACTGGCTCTCAACAACTTGTCTTTTGACTTCTATTGATACTATTGCTTTTCCGCAACACAAAAATAATTACTTTGTCTTATTAATTGGTACTACGGCATATCACTGGATTTATTTCTTTTTTCCCTTCAAGGATTGATCCTGGCTATTTTAGTTGTGCCTTGTTTAATTGTTGCATTTTGGAAATACAGATCGTCCATGAAAACTAGGTGAGCCAGCCCAAGAGCAGCTGTCCCTGATTCTCTGTTGCCTTCTTGGTTGCTGAGTGAGCTACCATATGCTTCTTGACTTCACTTTGCCTTCTACTTTGCTCACACTTTCCGCATACATGTGCTTAGTGTTCAGAAAGGGCTTGCACATTTTTTGTTGAACAGTTGCACTAATCTGCTACCACAGAAAAAAAGCACAGTAATTTTTCTAGAATGGGTAGTCAGTATTTTATCCCATTTGGTGTTCTGATGTGACAGAAATGGTCTGTCTCCACTTACATCAGCTGTCCATCCTAATGCTGACTTCACAATGACTATTCTGGCCCTGAAAATCTTGAAATCTGCTATTAAATAAAGTTATAAAACATTCTGTATTATACTGGGGCCACCAAGGGTACTTGCAGTTTGTGGTTATTACTTTCAGAAATAGTAAGCAGAGGCGGAGCTAGCTGCTCCAGGACCCGGAGTGGCCCGCAGGGGTGGGGCTATCCGCCCGCGGAGGTACGCCTGCAGCAGGGAGCGTCCCAGGGGGGTACGCTGGCAGCAGTGCGCGTCCCATGGGGGCGCCACCCATGGCGATGTCATCCCCCTCAGGGATGACACCAGGGGTGGGCTGTACCCACCTTTCTCCGCTACTGATAGTAAGAAAATGGATTTGTTGAATAGTTCTGTCTAAAGGCAGTAATGTTTTGTTTTGATTTTCCCCCTAGAAGAATCTAGGCCAATGCTTTAATCATTCTAAACCAACAATTTGCAGCAATAACTTATTCTGCACATTTCTCTTGCATGGCTTTTCTTTCTTTATTTGTATCCAGGGCTTTCCATTTTTGTTGTAGCTTTGTATGCATGATTTTACTGTTTAGATATGATGCATATATCTTCCCATCGCTTTGTGAGTGCTAATTAAGCTGTTTCCATAGATTAATACAGAAATTATTTACTCATTATGAATATCCAGTGCAATAATTTCTGTCCCAGGTAGGTTACATGTCTTTTAAGTCTTCTGTGGGATTCAGATTTGATACCAAAGCATGCTGATTGTTTTGTCAAAGGCAAGAGTTCTGTTTTATGCAGAGGCAATAACAACCCCAGTAGAGAAAAGGGCAGGCTCATCTAAGAGGAATCTGTTAGTAGTTACTATTTTCTATAGTTAGTGTGTTAGTCTCCCACTCTTATATCTGTTTTGCTTATATAATCCTAATTCACGTCATCTGCTTTACTTCTAATATCCTGCAGTTGCCAACAATCAGTGCATTACTTCTGAAACTTCTGAAATTTATTTTCCTGCCCAAGAAGCAACAGCATGGCTACTGTTTCAGTGTGAAAGTTAATTACAATACTTTTAAAATTTGAATAACATGAAATGGAATGCTGATGTATTTGTGTGTTGCTTTTTTCCTTCCTGACAGGAAAACAAAACAAAATGATATAATGTTTGGAACATAGGTATTAATTTTAAATATTTTATTTTATTTTTACAGAGTACCCGAAGCTCCTTCTAGTCCTGCTCAATTTGACAAGTCGGTATCAAAATCTGGATTGGAAGCCAAAGGTTCTCAATTGAACAAGGTTTCTTCAGTAAACCTGTAATCCAGCACCCTTCCAGTTGATCCTAACAGTTCTAATTTTTATAACAGGAAATGAGAATTAAGGGAAGGACTATGTGAAAAGTCAAAGCCTTTTTCATTAAGAACTGGCC